GTTTCACATAACGGTAGTTAAATTCACTAATTTCTCCACCAAAAGGTATGCGACTATGATATTCTTTACCAGGTTTCACTCCACGGTAAATAAATTCACTATTTGCTTCCCAGTTTCACCCCTTTTCAAAAGATGAGTGCCTATGATAATATTATTATCATAATATTAATAATAATATATATTTATTATATTATTTATATTTTATTTATTTATATTTATTTCCCTTATATATTTATTTATTTATTTATTTTTTGTATTCGAATGTTTCATTTCTATTTCTGTGTTTATTCATTCATATTTTTCTGCAGCGACTTCGATATTAAAGTGTTAGCATACTTTCGGGCTGTGCTTTAATTTTGATTAACAACTCAAAAGCCCACTCAAAATTCTTCCGCTCATTGTAAGGGCGATCAAAGTTGAGTGAGTTTTTTTTTCTATGTCTTTTGTAGGCGGGGCATCTGATAGGCTTGGGAGGTCAATTGATTAGTGTTAAATTTAAAGGAACAATTTTAATGTTGGCGAGTGTTGAATTTTTTTTCTTTGTTTCTTCACTTATTTTTTTTTGTTTGTTTAATATAATTTGTTTGCACCAAATAGACTCAATATGGTTCATGGTTTGATTTCACTTTATATTGACTTGGACAATTGTAATAATTAATGAATTTTATTTTTAATTAGTTATTATTAAATTTTGTTTTTGTTTTATATTACAAATAATAGTCAAAAAAATATTCAATTCACTATTAAAAATGAGTTAAGGTAGGCATATATGCCGAATCGCTTCATGACGTAGGGGAAGCCTCCATCATCTCCATACCACTGTGGTGCAGCGGGGACTGTGCCGTGGACCCAAGTTGGCGATGGCGGTTGGCGCTGGCTGATCAGCAGATCAGTTCCATGACAAAAACATATATATATTTTCTTTTTTTTCAGCAGTCCAATAGGTCACGTTTTGTTATTTAAGTTCAGAGTTTCTCTTTTTTTTTTTCGTTTAACGGCAAATCATTGTAGCTGGTTTCGCTATTGGTTATTGCCGATGAAACAATTTGGGAATTTATTTTTCCCCACGAAATAATTTTTATTTTTTTGCCGAGACGCACGTGCCCACAGAGAATTTTTGGCCGGTGGCAATTATATTATTCGTTCAGTCGAGAAAATAAATTTCGGGTTAGGGACGATTTTCATCGCGTCCACGTGTAACTTTTCTATATCCACAAAATAGAAAAAAACCAAAGTCCATGGGACTCGCACGACTATCCCTTTTGGCAGACAAAATCTCAAGGCAGCTATCAGAAAAATTTTTAATCAACTAACCAAAAAGGGCTTGACATTGCACTCTATCTCATAGAGGGCGGCGGCAAAAAAAACCAAAGCATAACCGTAGGCATAACATTTTATTAACTTGGGCAAGCGCACTACAATTTCATAGAGGGCGTCGGCAAAAGCTCGGCTTGGTATTAAAAAAAACCAAGGCATAATCGTAAGCATAACATTTTATTAACTTGGGCAAGCGCACTACATCATTTACCAAAAGTCACGCCTTGCCGTCGTCACCCCGAACTCTTCAAACAGTCCAGTCAGTTCAAGATGTTCAAGAAGTCCGTGCAATATACTTAAGTTTAAGAACAAACACACCAGACACACAATTCTGAATATCATATATATTATCAAAATTATTTTTACACATTTTGTTTTACATGTCAACACAATTTTCTAATGTTGCTAGGTTTCAAGTAATGGGAAAATATACGAAGGTTAGCCGGCGGTTGTTTTTTTCAGTCGTCAGCTGCTGCCATTGAAACTGAAAAAAAAATATTATATATAGATATCTATTCAAGCCTCCAAAGTTTCAGCAATCCAAACTAAATTCTCCAATGTGCCAATGTTAATTTAGCTCAGCTTTCGAGCTTTACCTACATACATATATACAAACATACATATACACATGCACAAGGGATCGGGCAACTCACCGATTATTATATGTTTAGTGGTAGTGGTTTAGTACTACGTAGTACTTGAAGCAAGAAGCAAGAAACCGTATATCCAGACGAATCGAATCGAAGCGAATCGAATTGGATTGGATTAAATTGGCAGTCACAGCTGCCGTTCGTCATCTGTTTTATGTTAACACATAAGTCGTGAATATATACATATATATATAAATATATAATAAGTACTATTCACATACAATCTGTGCGTTCTGTCTGATTTAAATGTGTGTATGTATAGCTATAGCTATTGCGGATCAGCCAATGTAGATCATGTGCATATGGAACGCAGCGGCAACATTTTTGTAAGATTCCACACTCTTATTTAGCTGTTGCTGCTTGTAAACAATATTTTTTCCTCGTGTTTTTTTTAATATTTTTCCTGTTTGATATTTTTTCAATGATCTTTGCAAATGGCGCAGAAGCCAAAATCCATATAGATATCCCATCCTCAACGCGATTCAAAGTTCATATTGAAAAGCAAATCAAATCGAATTTAATTGGACAGGCAACCGAAACGAGCGCATTTAAATTGATTGCGTAAAAGTGTATTAAAATCAAATAGAATTTTAGCAAATCTCCGGGCCTGAGAACTATATATATATATATATGTATGCATGCATATAGCATCTAGACGGTATCACTGGGGGCTGTAAAGATTTTGAGAATGTCCATGACTTGCCTATTTGACATTGAGATAAACGAAGTTTGGCGTGTCCCAAGATCAGCCAGTTTTAAATATGCAATATGCATATATATATATATGTATATATAAACATATGTACATATACATATCTTATATCACTTGGATTGGAATCTTAAAAGTTAATAATTTCAATTGACAAATTGCGAGGTGCTTTCGTAAAATAATTTTAAAATTTCAAATGTAAAAATACAAATTTTTGAATGTTATAATTTCAGTGCATATTAGTTTAGTATTTTAATGGGATAACGGAACACAAAAGTGTTTTTAATGGGCTTGCTTAAAAAAAAAAAAGTACATAAGATATTCGTACTTTCTGTTCAATTTGTTGGAAGCATTCAACGAGCCATGTCCGGTTATTTATTTAAAAAGATACAAAATGGACAAGAAAAACTTATATTCTTATACATTACCTTCATTTTAATAATCAACTTTAATCGATATTCGCCAACTGGAGGCAGTTATAGATCAAATGAAATAAAAAAATGTAAGATTCTACCCTTTCTTTACGGCTGGTCCGACATAACTCGGACATGATCGAAATATATACATCCTTAATTACATTAATTAATTACCAGTTATTTAAGGTTTCTGCATCTTCTTTCGTATGCCTTTGCACCTACATGTGTTGCACACGTAAGCATCTACAAATTTATCTTTTTGCTTGCAACAGAGGGGAAAGACATTTCTCTCAATTTAATTCTAATTCAGATTTACACACACAGTTGATTGCGATTAAGGGGCTGAGTAAGGGGTGCGAGGAGAAGGAGAGGAGGGGAGGGGTGGATGTCAACTCGACGCCGAATTTGCCGCCATCAACTGACGCCGTTGTGACAAAATCATGCAAATATTTTAATTGCAATTTTTTTCTTTCGGTTAGCGTCGCATTGGTTGCACTGCATCGCATCGCATCGCATCGCATTTTACGTTACCTAAAAATTATAAGTAAAATTAACAATTTTTAATTGACTCTGAATATTAAAACATCAACATGGCGGCGAGCTGCATTCAAAATGCTTCGCCAAATTTTCATAATAAATTACAAATTATTATTTTAGTTCCAATTTAAATGAGAAAGTCTATACCGATTGTATCTCATAATATGCAACATTGCAAAACTAACTCCGATATATTTATTCTACTATCAACTTAATTATAGAAATAGTTGTAGATTTCATTGGTTTAATTAATTAATATGTCTATATTGAAATTCACCTCAAGTTATAATTTACAAAACTAACTGATTAACATGATTCATAAATAAATGAATGACACATTTTATTTATATATATATATTTTTGTATATTTTTATATTATTCAGGATATCCTCAACTACTAGCACACATCACTTGTGACACACTTTTCTCCACAGGGCATCCTGCACTCGATCATTCTTGCCATGCAGCAGCAGTTTTACGCGTTGTCTTTGGGCATTTACACAAATTTGTTGCACTCGACCCACGCGGCAACGTGTCTATGGTTTGTTGCTGTGGTTTCTTCTTTTTATTTGAGCCACGGAAGCGTCGAACACATGACACTGGGATGCTTGGGATGCGACTTGTCAAAATGGCCTGATGGGCAAATGGAGCGTGTGCGCAATATTTAGTGTTTGGTGAGCTTAGAACCAAGGTAAGGCTGGAGCGCGGAAGCGTTGCATTTTTGCTGTATTAGGGCGACAATATTTGACATAGACGATGACATGGCGATGGCGCCAAATTCTGCATTGTCAACGGCGCGTAAAACGAAAATGAACGCGTGGAATCAGCAACAAATTTCGCTTGCCATTTTTCTTGTTGCACATTTCGCAACGCATTAGCACTTATTTATTTTACTTTTTTTGTTTCGTAAAGATGCAATTATAAATAATAAGAGAACAACAACCAATATAAGTTTACGAATCGGCTGCTTGTTTTGCTTAGCATTCGTTATTATTTCGAATAGGGGAAATTTATTTAGTTGAATGGTTATATATATGCCAAGCTGCATTTTTTGTTTTATTATTCAAATGTTGCATATCCTAATGAATTGCTCTTTAAATTGATTGAATGTTAGTTTCAGCATTTTGCATTTATGTATCTGCAACTTTTAAAAGCTGTACATCAATTAATAAAGAATTTAATCTGTCTGCTTGCCGACGAATGGAACACATTTCTCATCCCATCATTATGTGTTGCTATATATATATATATGTGTAATTGTATATACTCAATAAAAAATCTAAAATATAAGACATTATCAATTATTTTCCCTGTTATAAATAAATAAGTAAATTCATGCATATATAAAAAAAAATAAAAGAACGCCTTGAATAACTTTGATTGGTTTGCCGTGTTTATTGGATGTAGATGTACAAGTCAGCATTATGAATGATTCTTAATCACTTTCTGCTCATTGGGACAGTCGAAGGTCACCTCAGTGCCATTTGGCAGCCAAGATCTTGTCCAAATCGAAACATCGCACACTTTCTTCTCACCGGCGCTATCGATCAACTCCACACTGTACTTGTCCAGCGAACCAGCAACGACCTGAACACTTGCTGACAATATTTTCGAAATGCTTTGGGAATGGAAAGGGGGGTGATATTTAGATGACATCCTGGAAATGTAATTATTGGGTGGCACCTACGTGTAGTTGGGTCCTTCACCGGCAGCCAGTTTGGTAAGGGAATTCTGCAGTACCTTCCGCGACGATTCCAGTTCACTTTCGGTGAGTATGCGGGGTGCACCAAATCCACCAAATCCCTGGGGTGTGCCGCTGACCAGGACAACAGCCGCCAAGACAAACAACATTTTAGCCACAAACATATTTGGAATGTAAAACACTTTCAAATGTCACAAATGAATTGAGTGAAATCAATGCTATGCATCCATTTATATAGCATCTGTCATCATCGTTATCACCGGCCTATACATAGTCTTACTATATCTGTTAGCTGTTGACCTGCGCTATTTGTACACACACATATATTCTATAATATATTTATATACAATATATACAATCCCCCACACAACACTTGGCATTAATCTGTTGTGGAATTACAATTAATGAAATTTAATTAAGTGAATACTTTAATTGCAATAGCTTCCAATTTCATAGATTAGTGTTTAAAAAACACAAATAAATATAGAGTACTTGGTCAATGATACCCTGCACACATTAAACATCAATGGGATGGGCATATAAGAGTTGTGCATAGGTATGTCACAGGCAGGAGGAAACATCACCAGTCCCATCTAATATATATATATATATATACATATCTATTTTTAACCAACATTAATTGCTGAATGGATGTTCGTCTGCCTGTATTTTATTTATATTTATTTAATGTTTTCGATAACTGCTTTCGTTTTATTTCAAAATTGATAAGAATCAATTACCAATTGCAATAAAAGCTACAATTTTCAAGATATTACTTTTTAAGTCAGTAGGAATGTAGCTTGGAACATTATTGTACCATATACATTTCATTACGATTGGCTCAAAATCATAGAAGGATTATATAAATATTATCCAAATTACACAGCAACAACATTTAAATATATACACATCAAAGAGTGTTTTTTTTTTTTCAAATATATAAAACGTGTCCGATTCTCGGTTTCAAGATATGTCCTAGTCGTGCTCTCTCAACTAGAGTACTTTTTACATGTTTTTGTCAAAATTGTGTGTGTTTTTGACCCTAAAATAAATGGGAACGCATTAAGTGAAACTATTTCTTATCGAGATGTGTAATTAAAGTCAGTCTTATCACCTAATTCTATTCTCGTCTCAATGCCATACAAATGTGGAGCCTAACTTAGGACAACAACTAAATTAATAAGCAGTTATTGAAAATGCTTTGACCTTTGGTGTCAAAAATTCTTCAAAGAACATAAATACAAGACTAGCTGCATTTCTCTAAGGTATGATTTTTCTCGAAGTTTGATTCGAAAAAATTCGCTGCATTTCGCGTATCTAAATTTAGTAGCAAACAAATGTGTTACTGTACTATATGTGATTAATAACATATTTGAGGTTAATGCACATTGTGTATTCAACGCGAAGCTCATAAATTGATTTGATGATCGAGGCGGCTGCTACTACTGCTGCTTCCTGGCGAGAGCTGTCATCCAGAACAGCATATACAGTGCAGTCAGTAAATATATAGTCACATAGATCAGTTGCTGTTGGGAAACGACGACGATAAATTGCGGATCGCGTCAGGCAACGTTGCACAGATACACACGTGTGTCTTGTATACAGAGGTAGAAAGTAGGAGCAAAAATATTAACACGAATGTCAAATGATTTAAGCTTGTTGAGAATGTGTGTGCTTTTTTTTTATATTTTGCACTTTATCCCTCTCCACTCAAAGCGCTGTGGCATTTTTGGCGCAACTCCAGCGGGCTGTCAGAATTGCAGAAATCCGTATCGTTGCCTCGCCCGTATTGCCAGACAGCCACCTAGTCGTCCGACCATTCAACTGTCCGCACATTTCACACATTTAACGGATCTTTGGGTGTGTTACGGGTCCCGCATTTCAATTTGTTTTATTTCTATTTTTTTTTTTTTCGGGTCCCATGATCTTTATGCATGAATCCATCCAGCAATAGACATCCGCAGCCGTTGCTGTCAGGTATGGACTGCATGGCACCCAACCACCCCCCACCACCGCTGTTAATCTTTCGCAGATCTTTAAGGCTTAACACGTGTAATCCATTTCGCCCGTTCAGTGTGACGATGCCGATGGCGATGCCCCCAAAACGGGGCAAAACTGTATTTTGACTGCGGTGGGGGCGTAGGTGTGCTTAGATGCACTTCTCTATTCGGTTGCTGCCACCCCCTCTCTCTTTCTCCCCCCATTTCTCTATCTGTATGTTCCTCAAGTTTTCCCCATTTGAAAGCAGTTTTGCTCACAGCGGTGGCTACACTTGAAAACACAATAGAGAATATTGTTTGTAATGAATGTGTGGCTGCATGACCAAAATACCATTTATTTTTATATAAAATTTTAACAAACTTATGGCACCTCTAAGTATAGCACTTTTTTTTGCAATTATGCTAAAGAATCGGAAGATTGTGATTATGATTTATTCGCAAGTGTAGGATGAGTAATTTCAGTAGCCCAGTAATTAAAGCACCCATCAACTCATCAACATCATATTCACCATCATCATTATCATCATCATTGTGATGATTATCAACTGTTCAACACGATCGGTGCTCTGATTTGCCTCGTCTCTGCTCGTAGCAGCAGCCGAATCGCTGAACGCCGAATTTTCGTGTCATTTTTCGCGTGAAACATTTTCCGACTTTTCACATAAATATCATGTAAAGTTGGAAAACGGCGGCAGTTTGCGAATGGCAGCCGGGAAATACGCGCCAAAGTGATTCAAAGTGAAACAACTCCAAAGTGAAATCAAGACTCAAATTGCGAAATCCATTTTCAATTATTTGAAATCAACTTTTCGAGTCTTTTTTTTAATAGTTTGAGTTTGAGTTTGAATGTGTGTCTGTGTTTCTTTTTTTTATCGTTTGTCTTTTTATGATTCTATATTTATATAAACTGTATATTGCAAGTGCCAAGTGTTGAGTGAGAGAGAGAGAGAGAGATAGAGAGAGAGAGCCACTCCAACTTATTGACAATGATTTGCCCGAAACGCACCTCGGAGCTGCTGGATGTACATCTGGCGCCGTTCAAGGTTAAGGATCCAGCCTGGGAAATTGGTATATCAAAAATTGCTGGCCGTGGCGTTATGGCCACACGCAATCTAAAGCGCGGCGAGATCATCTTCCAGGACATGCCACTGCTGATTGGCCTGGCTGCCCAAGAGGAGGACTCGCTAAATGCGTGCAGCATCTGCTTGAAATTGCTGCCCGATACGCGCTTCATGTGCCGCCAAGGATGTGGTCTGCCCATTTGCAGTTTGTGTGGCAAAAAGAGACAGCACAAGACCGACTGCGATATGTTCAAATCGTGGGGTCCCAACGAGCCGGACGTGGCCAATTCGGTGATCATTCGATTATTGTGTGTGGCCCGTGCCATCAATTTGACGAAAGATCAGCGGGATTTGATCTATTGCCTGCAGGCCAATTTGGATAACAATCATCGCACCGAGGTGCGCAATGCGGCCAAGTGCTTCAAGAATTTTCCCACCGACAAAAAACTGGTGGAGATCATGAATCGCACTGTTGCCGTACTCCGTACGAATGGTTTTGACAAGACAACGGATCGCTGCACGGACAATCAGGAGTTCAGCTATCGCGCCCTCTATCCGCTGTTTGGCGTCATGAATCACGATTGCATTCCCAATTCGTACTACACCTTCGAGGAGAAGACCAACAACATGATCGTGCGTGCCGCTGTCGATATACTCGAGGGCGAGGAGATCACCACAACCTATACGAAACTCTTCACGGGCAACATAGCGCGTCACCTGTTCCTCAAAATGAAGAAGGGCTTTACTTGCAAGTGTCCCCGTTGCTCCGATCCAACGGTAAGTGACGAATTAATGATTTGAATCGATCGTTTTAAGTTTAAATAGTATCCACAGACTAAATTCTACACAAGTAAATCCCATTAAACATTACATAAAACTGGAAGTTAGTTAAGCATAAATAATACAAAAGAAAAAAATAAAAATTAATAAATAAATTATTTTAGAATTTTCTTGCATCAGATTCAAATCAAAACGTTTAACTGCAATCCATCGATTTAGTTTTTATATTGTACCTTAAAGTTGATTTATCAATTAGCTAGTTGATTTAAATTGCAATTGGCCAAAAATTCTTACAGTTATGACTTGGCTGAGTGGCAAACAGTTTGCAATTTCAACACAAAATTACTTTTACTCGTAAGCATCTTGCTTTTCAATCAAAAGTGATGACTGATGTGGCAGCTGCATAAACTATTTTCCACTTGTTGAACTAAATACGAATACACAAGCACTCTAGAAACACCTAGAAACACACATTACAGTTTTGTTTGTTATCTTTTATGTGTTTGCACCCTGCTGGAGAGGGTACAATGGAGTTGGGGAATAGTGTGTAACCTGCATAAAGTCTATTTCTATTCTACTGTCTATTTTTGATCTACATCAGAAGGAGAAGTCCATCTGTCTGTTTGTATGAATAAGCTGATCTCTACAAGAGCTAGTGATTTGGAAATAGATTCTCCCGAGTTCAGCATTCTCGCCTAAGAACACAAGTTTCATCATTGAAATTGCATCTTATAAACATGACATTAACAAAATGTGTACATATTTTAATTAAGCTATCAACTTTAGTTTAGTTTTCTGGTTTTCACATGACTGGTGAATACAATTGAATTTGATCCGCGGAAGGTCGATAAATTGAAGGTAATGTTTGCGACGATTTGTATACTTGAGAACTCTTTGCTGGAGAATGTATACAAAACAAGGGCAAGAGGAGCAAGGCAGTTCTCTTCTGTGCATACCTTTAATATAGTGTGAAACTCCGCAATAAAAAACATGCTTAGCTGAGTTCTAAAACCGGAAAGATTGTGCAATCCTTGTTCCGTTCCGATGGCTATACTTCATGTTATTTTCAGTTAAATTTGATGTTTTGTTCTATTTCGAACTTTAACTTTTGTTTGAATAACATGTATTTGCTTTTTAGCAATGTATTTTTTTTCTTTTCAATTTATGATGATAATTATCAAAGAATTATGTGGCGCAATAAAAATGTACATTTTACAAAAACATTTTCAAATCAAAGTGCGTTTTTGGCCATAAGTAAGTACAGATGATGGGGGTCTGGGTGAGAAAATGGGCAGCAAATCGATTTTGTGATCTTGGCGAAAGCCAAAAAGTCGTAGTTCGATGCTTGATGCAAACAAAGAATGATAAACATTAAGGAAATCCTGTGCCCATCAACATTCATCCAAAAGCAATTAAACACACACACACAAAAACAAGAGCAGCGAATAAATGCTGTTAAGCATTATTGGTCTGGATGCTGTTGTTATTGTTTTTGTTATTGTTATTGTTATGGTTTTTGTTGGCTCGGCCATAAATTTATTCAGCTTCCAGGCGCAACAAGTGGCAAAATGCAAAACGCGCAAAACAACAAGCAGCAGCAGCAACAATAACAACAAAGACTACAAACGTCAACACAACATAACACACACTTTTAATAATAGCAACAAAACAAATCGGTGTGTGTGTGTGTATGTTTATTTTTAACATCGCCAGCAATTCAATTAAATCACAAATAAATATGCACGATAAGTTCCAAATAAGCTTTTAATTCGCTTGAATATATCGAAAATTTCGCATACCGTCGCAAGTTGTATTTGAATCTTTGTATATCTATCTATCTATCTATCTATCTGTCCGTCTGTTTAATTATCTTTAGCTGTATCGATATCTGTATCTATGCGCCTACATATACATATATCTGCATTCGTTAAATTACGTTTTTTATTAGCGTTGACTTGAATTTGATTTCTCACTGATCCCAAGCAGTCAAATATCCCCGTCAACAATCTATCCCCCTCTTACCCCCCCCCCCCCCCACCAACCAGTTGTCGCGCGTTTTATGATTTTTAAATTTTTTATTGGCATACTTCATAAATGTGTATGTATTTTACATATGCATGCCTATATACTATATATTTATATATGTATTTATGGCTAAATAGCTTATTCTTGGCCACGGCCAAAAATATAGACATATTTTGGTATGACGTTCACTGTCTACATGCCCCCTCCCCCCCAGATACTTTTACTTACACACTTTGGTGGCCAATTATAAAAGCAATTGAATGCCTTTGAAAATGCCATCAAGTGCTTAAATTGTTGTAATATATAATGTCTTTGATGTTTATCATTGGCGCTAAGCTATATCATTTACCCACCACGATCTGTGTGTGTGTGTGGGCGTATATGAAGAGGCGGACTAGGTGGGTGGGACCAGATTTGAATGGGCCATAGACTCAAGATCATTTGGTTCAGTGAACTTGTTTCTATTGTTTCTATGTCCATATACATATATGTATAAAGGCAGCAGCTAAAATATCCATAACGCAAATACATCTTAAGACTAAAAAGAACGAAGATTACATACCCTCCCAGACCTTTCCGGGATCAACAAGTCGACATCTAAACTGCAACATAAATTCAACAAACGCACTCATTTCATTCTATGAAAGCTATATGACTTAGAAGTCAGATGTCGTTGATTTGTGTAGATATGTATTTAGTTTTTCATACAATAACTCATCTCTTAAACAGTTGTACTAAAACAACGAACATGTTGCAAATTTAATCGAGATAGTTTTAAGAGTAGTTCGCATAGAAACAGGCAGACACAATATATATATATATACTTCATAGGCTCAATTATTTATTATTATTATATATTATATGTATTTCCATACCCTTACTAAGTATATAATACTGTTTTGTTTTTGTTTTTGAGGGGGACTTATGCATATGATATTATTATATATATGATTGAATTTACAAGAATCTATCAAATACTAAAAAAAATAATATCAATTTAGTGTTATATTGGCCATATATATATTATTATTAGACATGTCTTTTAATAATCGATCAGTTAAGATTTGGTTGATCGCTTTAAGTATATATTGGACATTGGATAAACGAGATTCACAATTAATTTATTACTGTCGTACTTATCGCTCAGATTTATGGGTAGCAAATTAGAGCAAATATTTGAGAAAGAAGAAGAGAGACCTCGAATCTGAACAAATTGGAATTATAGACCGATGACGTGGCCAACCTTGAAACAGGGGCACTATTCATGCTAAAGCGGATTTTTTCCGTCAATCTAGTGGCGATCTGTTTTCCATGCAAACCGTTAATAAGCTTCATGTATGTGTCACATTATTTATGGCCTGCCTAGATATTTAAATGTTTATATACACATATATAATCGTATATGTATGTCTCTGGTTATTTATTTATTTATAGCCAAATGAATGCCGAAAATTTGTATATATATTACTACTAACTCTGATCTGTGCTCTTTAATCTCATCTCTCAATCTGCATCCGTTTTGTAGGAGAAAGGCGCCTACATATCGGGTCTGTACTGTCGGGACACCAATTGCAGCGGCTTGGTGGTGCCAGAGATAACCGGACTGCCGCATCCCAATTGGAATTGTCTGAAGTGCAAGCAGAAGTCGACGCATGCCCAGATGATGAAGTCACAGGACTTTGCCAGTGGGGCAATCAATGCCAAGGTCAATTCGAATTCGCTGCGCACTCTGGTGCACTATTTGAATGAGAAGAGCGACAGTTTCATACCTAGCAGCAATTATGTGGTGATCGATGCCAAGATGGCGGTACTAACGCGTCTCGCCCAGGGACGGGAGGATTGCAACGAGGATCTGGTGTCGAGCACACGCCTGCGCTACAGTCGTGACATAATGCAGGTGATGGACAAGCTGGGACTGGGCGATTCGCTGTTGCGCACCCAACTGGAGCAGCAGCTGCACAAGGAGGAGGAGCGACGCGCCAAGAAGCAGCTGGAGCTGGCCGAGAAGCAACGCAAGCTTGCCGAACTCGAGCAGAAGGTGGCCGAGGCCGATAAGCTGCTGGCCACCTTAGCATTGGCCGAGGGTGCAGCTGCAGAGGCGACTGCGGCAGCAACTCCGGCAGCGACTATGCAAGCGACTCCGGCAGGGACTCCTGCCGCCGAACAGGCCTAAGCTCAAGGGAGAAATGCAAATTCACTTATCCCTCACCCATCCCGAGCAGATATTGCTCGCTTGTTGTCTATCTTATTCTTTATTTTGCGTATCATACAAAAAAAATAATGTATTTGTATTTATTTATTTATAATCAATTAAAATATATATGTATGTATGTACTTATATAATTATCGTCCTTATTTGTTTTGATTTTTTTTAGATATTGAGCAATATGCCCAACAATTTAGAAAATGTATTTTATTTTTGAGAAAATGGATTTCTAAAAATTAGAGACTAGAAATGCAAAACTATAGTAATTTACAAAAAATAAAAATAATTTGATATTTTCAGATATATTTAGAAATGTAGAAAACCCCTTTTGAAATTCTTATGAACTTTTTTTGGGAACACACAATATTTAAAGTGTGTAAATTTTCAAACATTTTCAGACGCGCATTTTCGGGGGCTTTATCATCGATTTGTCAAAACGTTTTCTAATCCGCCTGTCACCCAAAGTTTTTTTATTATTATCGTTTCTTGTTATATCTTTGGATTTTGATTTTCTAATTCTTTTCTTTTCTAATTTTTTCTGTTTTTTTTTTTTTGTATTTTGGCTTGCACATTTTTTGCATTAAGATTTGTTAACATTAGTTGCTTTATATTTTATTTATTATATATGTGCCATAAATGTTGCTCATGCCGTTGAAGTTGGCGGCCGCATCTATTTTGGGTCGCCTTTTGACGCTTGCGGCCTCTTTTTATTTATACTATTTGTTCCACAAACAACACTGCTACGAACACTACACTGAAGAACAAAAACAGCAACAACAACTACAACAACAAAATCATATATATTTGCTTGTAATAAATATTTTTGTTGCGCCATTTTAATTATTATTATTTGTTACAGTTGGCATGACTAAATTGCTCATTAATGAAATCTGTGAAACGAAATTTACGCTCACCAATATGAAAACAAAAATGAATAATAATAATCGTAGGAGTATACACATATATATATATATGGCTATAAATTTCTATAAGAGAAATACATCCAATGTATTTCTCTAAATTTTCTAAACCCAATGACCATAGATATTTTATTATTGCTTTAAATTGAATACCGATGTCCCATTTAGGGTATGTAAATGTGTAAAATGGAAATAATGAAGTCGTGCAGAAGTATCCATCTGCAAACCCATAAGGTATATTTCTTGATCAGGATTACCAGTCGAGTCGATGTAGGCATGTCCGTTTGTTCGACCAGAGCATTTTTATTTATTTAACAGCTGGGTTGGGTCACCTTTTTGAAACACTAATGACCAGCTTATAGGTAAAATATATATGAACAATAAGATAAAATAAAATAAATGGGCGTTGTTTATAGTGTCGTTAGTTCTTGAAGTACCATAATATATGATAAAATTCTAAATTTGTGTGCGAATAGATATTTGCCTTTATAATCAAATTAAAATCTGGACTGGTCAAAAAACAATAAACCGTCATAAATATTTGCTGCAACAAAAACAACAACGAAATCATAACAGATAAACAAATTTGAGAGCTTCGAAGTCGTAAATAAAACTACAATAAAAATTGCAATAAATTATGCCACATATAGACTAACGATCTATATAATATGCACGAGTGTCCATATACATATATATGCAAGGTAGGCAGCTGAATAGGTAGATATCTTTATTTTGTATGAAAATGATTTCACAATGCTGATCATCTTAGGTGCGAAAGTATCTGTGGCAATGGATTCTTGAGGCAAGCGTCTCATTGTAGAAATATATATGCATGTAGATAGCCCGATAGTCAAGCAGCAGGGAACACTATAATGGGGACTAAGATAACATCGAAGGTAGTCCATGAAGTTCGTTCAAAGCTAGACCTACTCGAGACTCAAAACAGGGTCACCCTATGTTGGGTCCCGGACCACAGGGACATAGCAGGAAACGAGGCGGCTGATAAGCAAGCAAGAAGGGGGCAGAAAGGCCCCTAACAGGACTAGAACCGTATTGTGGCATAGAGAGACACACTATACGACTGGAACTTAGAAACGAGGAGAGACAGAGACGGCAACAGAGCTGATCAGAGTCAGTAGGACTCCGACAAGCCAGATGTCTCCTAGGTGGTTATAATCTTAGACGATTCAAACAAGTTATAACCATGGGAAAGAACAGCCTTAGGATATTTACCGCTCTATTGACAGGACACTGTAGACTAAGAAGTCACCTAACTAAACTAGGTATATATAGTAGCGATCTGTGCAGGTTTTGTGAAAGAGAAGAGGAATTTTCGATGCACATCCTAGCAGAATGTGTCGCCTTAACTAGAAGAACATGCAGCATCCTATGAGGAGACATAGAAGACCTCGGGCTGATGGAAGAGCTATAGGCTCAGAAGGGGGCACAATAGATCAAGTAGGTCGCGGTGCAATTCACCCCAATAATAATAATGTGAGATGGCCTCGAACTTGTCGCACATGCTGCCTAATTATAAATTACTTTTAGCACTCAAACGGCAAAAACGACAAACTAAAGACACGGAGGGTAAGCAACTTTTGTCTGCTCAATGAATCCGGTGATTAATTGCCCACTTTTTGTTCAACAATTTCGACATTTAAAAAATAAGTAAATAAAAATAAAAGTATAGGTTTATACATTCATTTTATATATATATTTCACTCCCATTCATATTTTTCATGTTGCTGTCAAGATTAATTATAGTTAAGGTCTCAAGTCCTTGCCAAGTTTGATTTGCCTTTGTTGCTGCCATCGGCCAACAGATGGCGCCAAGCACAACACAAGACAACAGAAAACAAATGAAATGTGTGCATGTGTTAAACATAAAGATCAGTGCCTGAAACTTAATTGCTGGGAAACACAGCATTTGCTGACTGTCACTCTTAATTCTAGACAATGTTGCCGACACTTATTGCCTTTAATGACACACGTTTGACATGTTGCCATCGATTTGATGGCCATTTGACTGCTTGACAAATGCAAAAGGAAAGTGAAAATCAACTCAAAATATATTAAATATTTTGCAAAATTACAGTTTTCGCTTATATTTCGCCAAATATCGCTGCCATTTATTATCATCTATCGTAAACTATATTAATGAAGCCAACATTTTACTATTTCATTTACTGTGCCAAAATATCTGGGCGAAATTCCGCCGCCGTGTGAGTTGTGCCTTGTAATGAACATCCAATGGCTAAAAATTCAGACATTATATCGCCAGTGGCCACAGCAAAGCCACCCAACCAGCCATCCGTTATGCATTTTTGTATGCATCCCAACCGGTAGAATTTATATGTATATGTATATGTATATGTATATGTATATTTATATGTTTATGTATATGTATATGTATATGTATATGTATATGTATATGTATATGTATATGTATATGTATATGTATATGTATATGTATATGTATATGTATATGTATATTTATATGTTTATGTATATGTATATGTATATGTATATGTATATGTATATGTATATGTATATGTATATGTATATGTATATGTATATGTATATGTATATGTATATGTATATGTATATGTATATGTATATGTATATGTATATGTATATGTATATGTATATGTATATGTATATGTATATGTATATGTATATGTATATGTATATGTATATGTATATGTATATGTATATGTATATGTATATGTATATGTATATGTATATGTATATGTATATGTATATGTATATGTATATGTATATGTATATGTATATGTATATGTATATGTATATGTATATGTATATGTATATGTATATGTATATGTATATGTATATGTATATGTATATGTATATGTATATGTATATGTATATGTATATGTATATGTATATGTATATGTATATGTATATGTATATGTATATGTATATGTATATGTATATGTATATGTATATGTATATGTATATGTATATGTATATGTATATGTATATGTATATGTATATGTATATGTATATGTATATGTATATGTATATGTATATGTATATGTATATGTATATGTATATGTATATGTATATGTATATGTATATGTATATGTATATGTATATGTATATGTATATGTATATGTATATGTATATGTATATGTATATGTATATGTATATGTATATGTATATGTATATGTATATGTATATGTATATGTATATGTATATGTATATGTATATGTATATGTATATGTATATGTATATGTATATGTATATGTATATGTATATGTATATGTATATGTATATGTATATGTATATGTATATGTATATGTATATGTATATGTATATGTATATGTATATGTATATGTATATGTATATGTATATGTATATGTATATGTATATGTATATGTATATGTATATGTATATGTATATGTATATGTATATGTATATGTATATGTATATGTATATGTATATGTATATGTATATGTATATGTATATGTATATGTATATGTATATGTATATGTATATGTATATGTATATGTATATGTATATGTATATGTATATGTATATGTATATGTATATGTATATGTATATGTATATGTATATGTATATGTATATGTATATGTATATGTATATGTATATGTATATGTATACGTATATGTATATGTATATGTATATGTATATGTATATGTATATGTATATGTATATGTATATGTATATGTATATGTATATGTATATGTATATGTATATGTATATGTATATGTATATGTATATGTATATGTATATGTATATGTATATGTATATGTATATGTATATGTATATGTATATGTATATGTATATGTATATGTATATGTATATGTATATGTATATGTATATGTATATGTATATGTATATGTATATGTATATGTATATGTATATGTATATGTATATGTATATGTATATGTATATGTATATATATTTATATATATATACATTATGGTGCAGCATCCACGTGATCATTTGGTCATATTCATCGTTACCCTTATAGAGAATATTATAGTTTTGTTATGATATGTATAAAGAGCATATATACATGAAGCATATATATTGTTGTTCAGCATCGCTGGGCGAGCAGATGCCCATCTGTCTGTCTGCTTTGTATGTGTGTGTCGCTCTTCAATTCAATTCGTGAGCAAAAAACATATAAATAATTTTGTTTAAAACGTACAAAAACATAATAACACTCCGCATACGGGACTCAAATTGAAGTCCAAGCAGATTAGCTCCGATTAACTAATAAGGGTGTGTAATCTTCTTGCTAGAAGTGCAGATTCCTGAGTTCTTTAATGCGTTCTTCTTAGGATATTTTGAGTATTTTCAACTCGTAATCTCAACAGAAGCAAAAAGCTCTTCGTCTATCATTAAAAAAGGCTGTCATTAATGTACCTTTTTAACTTGATGTGAATAACATCAAAATTGTGGCACATATGGGTGTCTTGATCAATTATTTTCTTACCAATCTTAGAAGGAGATTCCTAGTAAACTTACTTCATTCCACGTTTTGGTATTGTGAATTTTGGGGCGAAAGTGGGCGTGGATTTCACGGTGGGAGTGGGCGTGGCCAGGTAATTGAAATGCCTATGCTTGAAATACATCAATAGGAATCATCCTTTCAAATATGTTGATTATATGATTATATATATATTATATCTTCTACCTTTGATATTAGAATATATACAGCATTTAGCTTTTGTTGGGTTTTATTTACCGCTAAAATAAGCTAAAAGGTTGGCGGCACGGCTAAGCTTTTTTAGCAAAGCTATATTGTAAATCTTGCGCTTAGAAAAGCGTGTGATCAAAGCAAAGCATTTCAAAGCAACTCGTCAACAGCAAATAAAATAATTCATTGTTGCTAATATTGTATGTGTGTGTGTGTGTATTTGAGTGTGTGCGGGTGTGTTTTGCTTGTGCAGGTAGAATGTGGGCGCCGAAGTCGACGTCGATGTCGACGTTCCACAAGCAAATATCATTTGGAATTGTACGTTTCCAGTGTGTAGACCGATTTCTGTTTTCCGCTCAACAAAAAAAAAAACGTGCAAAAAGTAAAACGAAACGAGATTTTTATTGTATTTTTGTAAGTGGTTTGCATTTTTGGTGATAATCTGTGTGAAATAAGTCAAACGGACTTCAACAAGAAAATCAACTTAGAAGGTTTGTTCTGACAGCTACATACATATTTAGATAGATGCATATATATAGAGATAAATAGACAACGCCCTAAAGTTGTTTGTCATTTAACACATACGAGATATATATGTACATATACGCATACATTTATATTAACCGGTGTATAATAATAATATTAATATTTGAATACTAATTAAAACATAAATAATCGCATTAGCATTTTATGTTTTTTCTGCGGCAAATGTCAGAATCATTAGAACTATAAACGAAAATCAAACTGGAAATTGAAATTGAAATGGAATTAATACAGCTGACAATAGGCGGAAATGGCATATCTGGAACGGGGTAGGTACAGACCTCAAACCTTGACAGTACATAAAATAGTAAAATAGTATTGCTTATATTGTTAATTATAGTTATAATCAAAATTGTAGTAACAACCACAGCTGACGACTATTGCAGAAACAGTTGGGGGGCAAATGGACTCATTGTCCAAGTAAACTTTTGATGTGATACATAAATGAAACTCATGTTCGTGATGCACAGTTTTCACTGTAGCTGTAATCAGTTGCCAGTGCCCTACAGTCACCCCTAATTCAGATGATTAAACTCGTTTAAAATATCAATTTGTTAATGTGTTTGTTTTGTTTTATTTTTTCTATCTTTGCGCACATGACATATTATGAATATACATTGACGATAAGACACAAGTGCATTTGCTTAAGACTGATTGCACTATATAGTTATAGTCACCGCATATTCACAAGAGGAATGCTTACATAAGTGTTACATGATAATACAAAAACTTAATAGAAGTGCCGATTAGCCGGAATTGCCGATAATATACATTCATACATATATACACACATACAATACACACATACATGCATACATATATAAAAAAATTGCATTAGGTTTCTTGGAAATTATCTTTAGTTGTTTCTTTTGCTTTGTTGCTATCGTATTTCATGACCTATGCCAAGGCCATGATATCCATCAGAAGTAATTAACATCACATTTTATGAAAGAAGTCAAAACTCGCTCAGACATGGCAGAACATGCTTAAATTAGTATGACAAATATAGTCAGAATGCTCAACCACGATACGGGTCGAATAAGATACTCTGAATCCAGCTTTTGTAGACATATTAAGCTTGCTGATATTAGTTTGTTCAATATGAGAATACCTTTGGTTACTAAAATCTGCGCTTCCTATTCAGTTATCGATAATATGAAATAACCCTATATTATAGTCTTTGAGATCGGAGGTTTTCTCATTCTTCAGTATACCCTTTCCCCATTTCAATTGATTTCGAGTTCCGCACAAAATACTATTCTACTTAAGATTTGTGCTTCAAACGGTTACGAAATAGGAAGTTTCAATCTAAATTTCTGTTTATCGAGCTAATTAATTTGGGAACAATTTAATTCGTTGGGAAGCTTTTTAAGAATACGCAAAAAATAAAAAAACAAGAGACGAAAGTTTACACAATTACGTGGTACACACATAAATATATGAATATATATATATGTATACACACATAAAAAAAATATATATTTATATATATATATATATATATTTAGCCTTGACTGATAATGATAAGACGCCGTAAAGTAGCTGGGCATATGGCGCATATGTACATAGTTTTGGCACATTTGGTATATACACAGCTATGCATATAGATAGACCATTTGGTTGACAAGCGACTCGCTCGGCACTTCAGAATTGTTAACAGAACAATCTCTCGAGTTTTCAGTTCGGCATCGGACCACGCCCGCTTGATATGGAGCGAACCCAAACGCCAGGCAATAAACTACAATCTTAAGTCCCCAACGTTGCGATTAGATCGGTTCACACGCACACGCATATATATATATAGTATAGTGTCATGTGGCCACATCAACTGGTCAGAGTTACATGTGTGGGTCACACGCACACGGCTATATAAACCGATACAAAAAACGGTGAAGAGTGCGTTCCCACCAATATTGGATAGAAATTGTGCGTCTTCACGATACGTGGCGGCTGCCATAAGCAAATTGTGCCAGGGCGGCTGCACCAATGTTTCAAATTGTGATCACTTATAGTGAGCCAGTGCCCTTTCTATACTTGAAGCTGCTCAGTTGGCCAGTTCGAGCGCGACCAGCGTATTGCTCCCGTTAACAATTAACTTGCTGTTAATCTGTTGGGTGTGCAATACGGGGAATACATCAGTACAGTTGCACGTGAGCGGTACCAGCCCTTTGAAGGCGGGTCAGCGCCGAAGTCTCGGACGCAAATCTAACATCTGATTGGCATAAAGTGCACCAACTGGTGCAAATATCGGATCATATGTGCGCGGCGGTTGGCCGAATCATCCTGAAGAAATAGTGACCGCACTGCAAAACTTCGATTATTTAGGACTGAACTCTACAGGGGTACACAACTTTCCGTTTTATTAAACTTTAGTTTAAATTAACATAGAATGAATTTTTGAGGAATTAATATTTAATTTTGTAATGCATTAACTAAACTTGGTATGGTATGTATATGTGATATCAGCTGTTATATTGTCTAGTCCGGTTTGAAGTTCAAACAGCAACGTCATCCGTCTTCAGGCCTGTCGACTACGATGGACTACTAACGCAGTTGTTTTGGTGCTGTAAGTACGGCGTAACCGCACTCAGAGATTGTAAGTTATAAAGAAAATAACCAACTAATAATGACCATATAACAGATGTGGCATACAAAGACATATGTAAATACCTGCCTGATTTAGTTAACTCAAATTACATACATATATGTATATATAGCTAAGGGCTTTTCTAGCATAAGTTTATTATGGAATATTATTAGATCCAAATTGAAGAAAAAGAAATTGAATGAATTATTAGAAAATAAGTAACCCTCCCAAACATGAAACTTGAAAACTAGTAATTAAGTAAAACTCCTAAAATTAATTTTAAAATTAATGGAACTAAAACCATTATTATGAAGTATATAAAGAATTAATTATGAATTAAAATAGTTTAATGGGCTCCTGAGATAAATATAGTTTTGCAACTTTAATAGGGTAAAGGCACCGAATATTAGTCTTTACAGATTGGGCGGGTAAAAGAAGAAGAACATCAAAATCTCTGTTCTTCGATCTAAATATATCATTAGTGGATTCTGTTAGCTATTCTGTTTCGTTGTTTTATTCCGTTGCTTTAGCACTCTGTCTACTATTTTTTAGTTATGTGACACGGCAGCTTACTAGGCAGCAAAACCACCCACCCCATTTTCCCTGAGCACAGTCGACCCTGTAGGCAAAGTACGCCTCCAGTTTGCTGCATACTTCAACGTGTTCGTTACACTCTGACTATTTTTATCATATTTATTTTGCATTTTGCAGCAAACACGTCGAAGAGTTAAAGTGGTTTTTATTCCTGGAATATCAAGATGAGTCCACCGGCAATGCTAAGCAAAGACGCCCCCGATATTGAGGTAGGTAACCTGCCTGTCCAATTTAAGCTAAAATAATTAAAAATTATATTGGTGATTATAATCGTTCAGTTGCGTATATAGCAATAAAGTGTTTAATGCTGATCGCATTGTTAATTCTTGCAGGATCTGTTGGCATTGAATCCGCGCGTGAAGACGCAGTGCAGCGTCGTGCCCACGAAGCAGACCAAGGACAACAAGAAGCACTGGAAACGGAATGTGGATCACACTGCCGTCCCATGCACAACGCTATCCAATAATTTTGAGGATATTAAGCATACGACACTGTCGGAACGTGGCGCCCTCGAGGAGTCGGCCCGTTGCCTCAAATGCGCGGATGCACCCTGCCAGAAGTCTTGCCCCACGCAGCTGGACATCAAGAGCTTCATCACAAGCATTGCCAATAAGAATTACTATGGCGCAGCCAAGGCAATTTTCTCCGATAATCCATTGGGTTTGACTTGCGGCATGGTCTGCCCCACCAGTGATCTGTGCGTTGGCGGCTGCAATCTACAAGCCTCCGAGATTGGTCCCATCAACATTGGCGGCCTGCAGCAGTTCGCCACCGAGGCGTTTAAGAAAATGGGCGTTCATCAGCGACGTTCGCCGGCATTGAAGCCACTGGCACAGCCGGCCAAGAAGATTGCCCTGCTGGGCGGCGGACCCGCCTCACTGTCATGTGCCACATATTTGGGCCGCTTGGGTTACAACGATATTACCATCTACGAGCGCCGTAGATATCTGGGCGGCTTGAGTTCCGCGGAAATACCGCAGTACCGTCTGCCCATCGATGTGGTCAACTTTGAGATTGATCTAGTCAAGGATCTGGGCGTTAAGTTCGAATTGAATAGAGCGCTCAGCAGCAAGGATTTGACTATTAATGTAAGTCACAAGAGTCACAAGTTACCAGCTGCAACAAGTTGCTCAGCTGGTGCAACATTTTAAAAGGCAGCTCACCCTGTCTTTAGATGTTATGGATTGCATCTATTTTCTATTTGGCCCCGCTAGATGTCGCTCTGTGTTGCTCTCTTTCTCTCTCTCTCTCTCTCTCTCTCCCTCTCTCTCTCTCTCTCCCACTCCAATTTTAGTTATAATATTTGCTCAATTAACTATGTTTGAATTTGTTTGGCAGGGTTTGCTGTCCAGTGGACACGACGCCATCTTTGTGGGCATTGGTCTGCCCGAACCAAAGTTGGAGCCCATGTTCAATGGCTTGAACACTCAGTCGGGCTTCTATACGTCCAAGAACTTTTTGCCAATGGTCTCGGATGGCTCGAAGCCGGGTTTATGTGCCTGCAAATCGGCTCAGTCGCTGCCTAAGCTTTATGGCAATGTGATCGTCTTGGGTGCCGGAGATACAGCCTTCGATTGTGCCACCTCGGCGCTGCGTTGTGGAGCGCGTCGGGTGTTCGTTGTGTTCCGGAAGGGCTCGTCTGGTATTCGGGCCGTGCCCGAGGAGGTCGAACTGGCGCGTGAGGAGCGCTGTGAGCTAATGCCATACTTGAGTCCACGCAAAGTAATTGTCAAAGATGGTCACATCGCGGCCATGGAATTCTGTCGCACCGAACAGAACGATCAGGACGAATGGGTGGAGGATGAGGAACAGTTGGTGCGTCTCAAGGCAAACTTTGTCATCTCGGCATTTGGTTCGGGCCTGCAGGATGCAGAGGTGAAAGTTGCACTGACACCGCTCACATTCCGTAATGGCTTGCCAGTGGTTGATCGCACAACGATGCAGAGCAGTGTGCCCCAGGTCTTCCTTGGCGGTGATCTGGGTGGTGTGGCTAACACAACCGTTGAGTCGGTCAACGATGGCAAAGTGGCTGCCTGGAGCATCCACTGTCAGTTGCAGGGTCTCCCACTGGACACACCCGCGGCCCTGCCACTCTTCCACACGGACATTGACAACGTGGACATTTCTGTGGAGATGTGTGGTCTGAAATTTGAGAATCCCTTTGGCTTGGCCTCGGCACCACCGACGACCAGTGCGGCAATGATACGACGCGCCTTCGAGCAGGGCTGGGGCTTTGTGGTTACGAAAACATTTGGCCTCGACAAGGATATGGTGACGAACGTATCGCCGCGCATCGTGCGGGGCACAACGTCCGGCTATCGGTATGGACCGCAACAGAACTGCTTCCTCAACATTGAGCTCATCTCGGAGAAGCTTGCCGAATACTGGCTGCGCTCCATTGGCGAACTGAAGCGTGATTTTCCCGAGAAGATCATCATTGCGAGCATTATGTGCAGCTACAACGAGGCCGACTGGACAGAGTTGGCCACCAAAGCGGAAGCGTCCGGTGCCGATGCTCTCGAGCTGAATTTATCCTGTCCCCATGGCATGGGTGAGAGCGGCATGGGTTTGGCCTGTGGCCAAGAGCCCAAACTGGTCATGGATATATCGCGTTGGGTGCGAAAAGCTGTCAAGGTGCCCTTCTTCATCAAACTGACGCCCAACATTACGGACATTGTGTCCATTGCCCGGGCAGCGCAGCTTGGCGGTGCCGATGGTGGATCAGCAATCAATACGGTCCAAGGCCTGATGAGCCTTAAAGCGGATGCGACCGCCTGGCCAGCGATTGGCAAAGAGCAGCGCACCACATACGGCGGTGTCTCCGGCAACGCAACACGTCCGATGGCTCTGCGTGCCGTTTCGGAGATTGCCAAGAAGCTGCCCGGATTTGCCATATTGGGCATTGGTGGCATCGATTCCGGTGAGGTTGCACTGCAATTTCTGCAGGCCGGTGCGACAGTGCTGCAGATCTGCTCCTCCGTACAGAATCAGGACTTTACGCTCATCGATGACTATTGCACGAGTCTGAAGACGCTGCTCTATTTGAAGGCAAATCCACCGCCGGTGAACGGCACCTTCTGGGATGGCCAATCGCCGCCAACGCCCGTCCATCAGAAAGGTAAACCTGTCATCCATTTGACGGGTACTGGCAATCAAACGCTTGGATACTTTGGCCCCTATCAGAAGCAGCGCGACATCAAGTTAGCCGATCTGCGCCGCTTAGAGGGCGCCTTTTGGGATGCCCGACAGGCAAGTGCAGCTAGCTCGAGCGATGCTTCCATTAAGTTGGCACCCAAAGTGAGTGACGTTATCGGTGCAGCACTACCAATGATCGGTGCATACAAGAGCCTCGACAACACACAGCAGAAGGTGGCTCTCATCAATGATGTAAGTATCCAGAGTAGTAGTGTCTATCTAAAACCCATATTTACATACAAAATACACTCCATACTCCACACAGGATATGTGCATCAATTGTGGCAAGTGCTATATGACTTGCGCCGACTCCGGCTACCAGGCAATTGAATTTGATAAGAACACCCACTTGCCTCACGTCAATGATGACTGTACCGGCTGCACGCTCTGCGTTTCCGTCTGTCCCATCATCGATTGCATTCGGTAAGTGTAACTGTGATCATTTTTTTTTTTTTTTTGATAATTGTGATAATAACAAATGCAATTTATGTTTGCAGCATGGAGCCTAAGCAAATACCGCACATCATCAAACGAGGAGTTGAAGAGAAAGACAAGACGTTTTACACGCACGCACTTAGCCCAAGCCAATAATACAAATATAATGTATACATACGCTGTACACATTTTGTATGTTTAAATAATTTGAAAAAAGAAACAATATCAGGCTACCATGAATAAACAAATAAGCAAAAGAATTAAGCAAACAAAAACATAAAACATCATACTGCATGAATAAATTGTGTTATGCCTTGCCTGTCGAAAGCACCAATATATCGCTCAGCCGGCTAGCTATCGGGTCAGGGGTAGTTCGACCGCGATATATTGGGCGGCAAGTTAACAAAAAAAATTTGTATTCTTTTATAAATAAAAAAAAAACAAATGTTTCCATCAAACCAGTCCGCTCGCTGCTGTGTTGGCTGTGTGGATGTTGTACAGCCTGCGTGTCCCTCCCTTCCTTGTGATTCCTCCTCTAAATTTCCTGGAGAAATTCCCTTACATAATTATTTCTTTCTCGTTTGCTTCTTATGCCCTCATCTCACCCAATCACATTGATTTACCACATCATGTTCCTTTTTTTAGACTATTTAATTAACAATTCATATGATATATTTAATACAATTTTATCTATCTACTTAATTTAATGCTTACAAAACATTTAGGTTTTTTCTTTTCTATTATTTGGCTTTAAGAGTGCGCATCACTGATTGACAAAATGAGCAACACTATTGCCTTGGTTAGGGCTGATCAGCTGTCTTTGGCTCACTCTGCCGCAATTAGGCGGGAACAAACTCACTGATGTATTGCTACAATCCGAGTCGTCTCACGGTCTCCCGGCTTTGATTTCCTGGGTCCTGAGTCCAGTTGGCCGATTTCCTCCTTGATGGTGGCGATGAATAGTTCCGCCTGTTGCTGCCGCTGGTTTGTATTTTGGTATGTTTTTATTTTGTTATTTTATTTATAATTTTTACTTTTGTTTGCTATTCATTTATTTTACATTATTTTACTTTATATATAATTACTTCATAATTTTTTACAACCAATTTATTTGAATTTCTTTTTAAAAACTTCCTGCAGCGCATGCGCATGCGGTCCCTTTTTTTCTCTTTTCTCCCCCCTTTTTCTTCTTATTTTTCTGAAGATGGTCCCCCATCGATATCCCTCGCCTATCGATATATTTGCCGACCATAACACCACACTACGGTTTCGAGGTTCATTTCAGAGAAACAGGAGTGCAAAAGGAGACTATCTTTGCCCAACGGAGGCCATCGCCCACACCCTGGGATTAAGAGCTTCATGCTCTACCGACTGAGCTAGCCGGGCTCACACTGCAGCTGTAGGCCACATCTGTGATTTGGCCAATCGGGAACTCCAGAGGTACGCACATACATCCAGTACCAGTCTTTAGCCTGCCCGTTCATCAATCCATGGAAATCCCTCAGTACATCTGACGACGGAACTTGGTACAGTGACTGGAGATGTTCCAACCGGAAGATAAATTCCGCCACCGGCATTCCCTTCGGGTCTCCGTCGAAGATCAGGCCTCACCTTCGGATGTGACTGCTCTCTTGCCTCGTATCCCAACCGGAAGATAAATTCCGCCACCGGCATTCCCTTCGGGTCTCCGTCAAAGATCAGGCCTCACCTTCGGATGTGACTGCTCTCCTGCCTCGTATTCCCGATGCTCGTGCGGTTTCCTTGATAATGTCCACTCTCATTACCCGTTTGTTGCATCCAGCACGATACGGGAACTTGTCGTTGTTCGGCTTGTTTCTGATGTTCCGATTCCAACGCTCATCGAGCGTGGATAATCATCCACAAAAAGGTGAGTAGGTGCAGGTGGTCGATTAATTCTCGCCTCTCTCTCTTCTTTTCTATTATTTGGCTTTAAAAGTGCGCATCACTGATTGACAAAATGAAGAACACTATTGCCTTGGTTAGGGCCGATCAGCTGTCTTTGGCTCACTCTGCCGCAATTAGGCGGGAACAAACTCACTGATGTATTGCTACAATCCGAGTCGCCTCACGGTCTCCCGGCTTTGATTTCCTGGGTCCTGAGTCCAGTTGGCCGATTTCCTCCTTGATGGTGGCGATGAATAGTTCCGCCTGTTGCTGCCGCTGGTTTGTATTTTGGTATGTTTTTATTTTGTTATTTTATTTATAATTTTTACTTTTGTTTGCTATTCATTTATTTTACATTATTTTACTTTATATATAATTACTTCATAATTTTGTACAACCAATTTATTTGAATTTCTTTTTAAAAACTTCCTGCAGCGCATGCGCATGCGGTCCCTTTTTTTCTCTTTTCTCCCCCCTTTTTCTTCTTATTTTTCTGAAGATGGTCCCCCATCGATATCCCTCGCCTATCGATCTATTTGCCGACCATAACACCACACTACGGTTTCGAGGTTCATTTCAGAGAAACAGGAGTGCAAAAGGAGGCTATCTTTGCCCAACGGAGGCCATCGCCCACACCCTGGGATTAAGAGCTTCATGCTCTACCGACTGAGCTAGCCGGGCTCACACTGCAGCTGTAGGCCACATCTGTGATTTGGCCAATCAGGAACTCCAGAGGTACGCACATACATCCAGTACCAGTCTTTAGCCTGCCCGTTCATCAATCCATGGAAATCCCTCAGTACATCTGACCACGGAACTTGGTACAGTGACTGGAGATGTTCCAACCGGAAGATAAATTCCGCCACCGGCATTCCCTTCGGGTCTCCGTCGAAGATCAGGCCTCACCTTCGGATGTGACTGCTCTCTTGCCTCGTATCCCAACCGGAAGATAAATTCCGCCACCGGCATTCCCTTCGGGTCTCCGTCGAAGATCAGGCCTCACCTTCGGATGTGACTGCTCTCCTGCCTCGTATCCCCGATGCTCGTGCGGTTTCCTTGATAATGTCCACTCTCATTACCCGTTTGTTGCATCCAGCACGATACGGGAACTTGTCGTTGTTCGGCTTGTTTCTGATGTTCCGATTCCAACGCTCGATTATCCACAAAAAGGTGAGTAGGTGCAGGTGGTCGATTAATTCTCGCCTCTCTCGCTTCTTGTGAACTTGCATCGCTTCTCCCTTTGTCCACTTTCAGGGATGAGACTACTTCCCTAATTTCTCGCATGAAACTTAACAGGCTGGCCTCCATTGTCTCTTTAAAAGCGCTCAATTCCTGGGACAGCGATGCTCTGTAGGTCTCGTGCGCTTGGGCTACCGCTACATTAATAGCCGACTTCAGCTCACTGGGTAGCTCCACTTCGCTCCTGGTTTGTTGCGTTGATGACGAGGTACCCGCTACATCGTCTCGGCTACGCATTCCGATTAGAGAAGTACTCTCCATTTCTTTGGTGGGTTTGGTATTTTGTGTACGGGTAGTTGGACGCATTTTCTCTTGCCCTCTATCCCTCTGAAAGTCCCCGCTACGCCGCACTTTCCTCGACTGCCTGAATACCCCTTCGCTCATGTGATTCTTAATTTTCAATATGTTTCAACATTCAACAAAAAAAACGTATAATTATTTAACCCACAATTTTCATAATTATATGTATATAGATATGTATATGCATAAATATGTCTACGGAAAATTTTTATCTGTACTTCTATGTATTAAATAAATAAATAACCAATAAATAACTCAGAAACAATTATATTATAAATATTTGACTAACCTAATCTCTAAGTCAAAATTGTCTTGTAACAATAATGCTGAGAACTAAGCTATCACTGAAAATCGACTTATCACAACAAACTAACACTCAAAATTCATACTCAGCACTCTCGGAAATACAATTTAAACAATGTGATTGGGTGAGATGAGGGCATAAGAAACAAACGAGAAAGAAATAATTATGAAAGGGAATTTCTCCAGGAAATTTAGAGGAGGAATCACAAGGAAGGGAGGGACACGCAGGCTGTACAACATCCACACAGCCAACACAGCAGCGAGCGGACTGGTTTGATGGAAATATTTGTTTTTTTTTTATTTATAAAAGGATACCAATTTTTTGTTAACTTGCCGCCCAATATATCGCGGTCGAATTACTCCTGAGCCGATAGCTAGCCGGCTGAGCGATATATTGGTGCTTTCGACAGGCAAGGCATAACAATTGTCAACTAAATTTGCTGAACTGAATATCAAATTTTCGCAGGCAATAATAATAAGGTGATGTTATCGGCACACCATTCTTCGATAGACTCAATATATGAATATATCGATATGAGGCTTATCGACGATGACGGCAATGCATATTTCAACTTGAAAACTACGTTGGCATGCTGTACATTCGCACGAATGTAAATACACTGTAAACGTAAGCTGTAGCTTGTTGTGCATGGCAAAACGCCCAGCTGTTTATTATTATTATTTTGGATATTCTTAAATACGGGTATACAAAATTTTGTTTAATGGCCACCGCGACACAATTTCCATCCACATCGAAAACAACGACAAATGCAAATAATGGATTGTTGTCAGCAACCGTGGTTTCTGGTCTTAAAAACTTGGGCACAACGCTAACAGCTGCCATAAGTAAAACACTAATTGCCAATGCATTGAAATTGACACTCCATCCAGATGCAAGTATGTCGCTTTGTTTGTTACTTTAATCCATAAAATGTATGCACTCAGTTGTTTTTTGTTAATAGTTATAGCGCCAGTGCCCGAGATATACGCAACAAATGCAGCCAGTGCCAAACAGAGCGAATATGCTGTCGTCACACTATACGCAGTAGCCACAAAACACGGATGGGACAGTGGGATGCTGCGCCAACAACTGGAGTCACTTGTACTGCACGCCAGTGCCATTGACGAACTAACACGTGTGTACGATGACAATCGCAAGGATCTTGTACTGCGACAACTGCAGCTGGGCCACAATTTCCCCCACATTACCGACGTACAGTGGCGCATTGTGTGCGATGCAAAATCATCAACGCCTAATTTCAGCAGCGGTGCTCCACACTTCCACATCAATCTAGGGCACTATCGCCAGAGCAGCGGCGAACGCATCACCATTTTGGAGTTCATGTGCAATGCCGAAGAGTTGCATTCGCTAATCAATCGCCTGAAGGACATTGAAAGACACTGCAATCAAGTGGCAAACACTTAACACACCACATAGTCGAAAACCAAAAACAGTAAGCAAAATCAGTTATTAAATATATATATATATATATATATATATATATATATATATATATATATATATATATGTGTGTGTGTGTGTATGTGTGTAATTTAATTTCAAATGTATAACAAACTTATGCAGTTGTAAATATTTGTTGGTGTGACAAGTCCAAACAATAACTTGACAATAAATACAGTTGTCATCACTTATCGGCGTTTTTAGATTTTGTCTTTCAATTACGTTACTCTCAGCTAGCTAGCCATTGCTATCGCCATTATGCTGCTATTATTATTTTGTCATAATTGGTAACAGTTGAAAAAATTTTACTATGCAAATTACAGAATCGTTTTTGGCTGTCATTGCGGCATATCGTCAGCTCTTAACTTGAACTCGGCGGGCGCCAGCAGCTCAACGAGCAGGCCATAATCATTGGGCGCTGTACAAAATACTGTGCCTGAGAAGCAAACATTATCGTTCTCCTCGGCGGTGATAAGGACACATTCGTTGTAGATCGAAAGGCACATATTTACGCCACGAAAGCGCGAGTCTTGTTTGTACAAGGTGGAGCCGTCTCTTGGTAAATAGTATGGCCGGCCACTAAACGGATTCACAAAATCAGACCAGTAACCCAACGACAGCAAGCGATCGCTTATTTCTCTGGCCGCCAGCACAAACTGTAAATTATACAATAAATTAAGTGTGAACTGAATGATTATGTTTTTGGGATAGTTTCTTGCTTGCCTTGGCTGCTCCCTGCTCAATCTCGCCCTCATAGCTGAGCGTGAGTAGCGTTATGGCATAGTCCTTCTGACCGATTGCACGCACTGGGAACAGCTCAAAGATGGAGTCGCGTATCAGCATTGGACACTGACAGCATGCAAACTCCAGACGTGATTTGTCGACATTTGGTTCCCTAAAGAAATTGACTAGATGTGCCAGCGGCTCCATCAGACACACGGTAGATGTATCGCCCTGCCACGCCGGACCTGTCGCATTTGGCAAATAGAAGCGATTGTGACGCTTCGAAGTCAGCTCCCAGTTGGGCTCGCCCTCCCAACTATTGAGATCGTCTGCGGAAACATTAGATAACTGTGATTAATCGCTGCTAGCTGATAGCTGCTACTTACCATCATCAACGCCGCGCGACTTGGTCACAATTTTAAAGGGTTCCCCCGCATCGGAGCGCTTCGAATAGGACGCCTGGCAGCCAACACATTGAGCTCGAAACGTCTTCGAGGTAAGCAGATAACTCGACATACTATTCGGCTGCAAGGGCTTCATATTTATGTGGTTGATCAGGCAGCGTCCAAGTATACGAGTCAGCGTACGCGACATTATATCATAAGCTCTACAAAAAGCAAACGCGCAATTATTCGCAAATCGACCTTATCCCTCTCTCTCAATATATATATACATATATATATATATATATTTGCACATATAGCACATTAAATATACTTACTGGCAATAGTCGAAATGTGAAGAAAAGAAAAAATAATGCGAAAATGCGTATGTGAATCTAGTACTTTCACGTATAATTTTGTATTTGGTTTGAAATTCCTTAATGTAACGTCAAAAGTTGAATTGCCTTCTGTTTTATTTTTTTCTGTGACAATATTTATGTTGGCGTTGTGTTGACTGTCGATTGTCAGCGGCAATCGAGTCAAAAAAGCTGACGGCTGCCTACAAAGTTGCCATATAGTCAAAATAATAAAAGCACAAAATTAGTAATTTTTTGTAATTAATTTAAAGATCGAATCAAAATAATATGTGAATTTAGTTTTAAAAAAATTTGAGAAATTTTATTGAACGTGAAAAATGTACTAATACATAAATATAACTAGTTGTATATACATTTTATTATACCGTTGCAAAGGGTATTATAATTTCGTCGTTAACGTCTCCAACCTGATTAAGTACCTATATATATGTAGCTCTGTTTCTAAAGTAATCTTAATGAATCTGAAAATATATCCGTCCGAATCGGACAGCAATACAGGAAACAAATTTTTATATTTTGACTTTATGTAGCTGACAAATTTCTAGACACGATAAAAACATTCAAGTGCGAGGGGCGCACAATTGTCATAAGATTTAAAGATGGGATCGTTGAGTTCCGCTTCGGGCACGCATGCGCAGTGAAAGTTCTTCTTGTCGCGATTATACAGCTTGCGTGGATAACCGGTCCAGTCGCGCAACTGGCCATCGCCGCTGGTTGTCGTGCACCATACGCGAGTGCCCCTCGCCTCGGACCACTCGATGTTGCAGCCGGGATAACGGTTGCGCAGCTCATCAATTTGTGCCTTGGCCAACTGGGCCTGCTCCAGCAATGCCAGATACTTCTGATGGTAGACGGTCGACTTGCCCGTCTCGTCATAAAAACGTCCAATGACCCTGCCAACATATTTGTATTCCGTTTCGTAGAACTGCCGCCATTTGTCCAGCTCGATCAGATTATTCGGTTGGAGACTGAGCACATCGTCTGCCGTCTCGGGATCGTAGTGCTCAAATTGTCCGCTCACAAAGGAAACGGACGCATCGCGACCCGCAAAATAATTGTAACTGCAACCAGGTCCGTAGTGCTTCAGGCCGCGACTCACATCAAAGACGGCTCCGAGCAGCGCCAGATAAATGTCGCCACCAACCTTCTCCCCGTTATACGTGGCCAGCTGTGCGGGCGTAAAGAGCACGCCGCGTGGATCTGCATTAAACTCAACGGCAACACTTTCAGCGTGCTCCTCGCTTCTGACAGTGGTGTCCAAATAGCTTCCGGCTGTTTTTTGAATTAGCTGCAGCAGGTCCTTCTGATAGAGTTTGGCCACCACGGCAATTATGATTAGCATGCATGCAATTCGATATTTTAGCAGTGGTTTCACAAAACCAAACATTTTGCTGCTGAAACTAAACGTAAACGAGTTTAAGAAAAGAGCTTAGGCGCAGTACGCTGCTCGCTCTTGATGTGAGCAATGTCAATATATAAATATATATGCAGCAATATTTTCTTTTTTGTTGTATTTTTATACCCTGAACCCGTTAAAAATGGATAAAAAAGGTATAATGGTTTTGTGCAAAAGAGGCGGAAGGAAGCATCTCCGACCCCATAAAGTATATATATTCTTGATAAGTGTCCGTGCGTCCGTCCGTCTGTCTGAAGACGCAGATCTCAGAGACTTTAAGAGCTAGAGACTTCAAATTTGGAATATAGGTTCTCGTATACCCGGCGCAGATCAAATTTGATTTATTTGATCGATAACTGCCTCCGTTTCTCGATTATCGATACATTTAAATTTCCGATAGCAATAAATTTATACATAATATACATATGCATATTATTGATCAACTTCCTAAATTCCATCAAGATCGGTTAAGAAACATGTTATGGTCGGCAGATAGATCGATAAGCGAGGGATATCGATGGGAGACCATCTTCAGAAAAATAGGGAAGAAAAAAGGAGAAAGAGGGACCGCATGCGCATGCGCTGCAAAAAGATATTTAAAAAGAAATTCAAATAAATTATTAAGTAATTATATATAAAATAAAATAATGTAAAATAAATAAATGTAAAGCAAAAGAAAAATAATAAATAAAAATAAAACAAAAAAACATTCAAATCGGCTGCAGCAACAGGCGGAACTATCCATCGCCGCCATCAAGGAGAAAATCGCCAGGGACAACTGGACTCAGGAACCAGGAAGTCGAAACCCGGAGTCCCGGAGACACCTCGGATTAAATCAAAACACCTGTGAGTTTGTTCCCGCCTAACTGCGGCAGAGTGAGCCAAAGACGGCTGATCGGCCCTAACCCATGCAATAGTGATGCTCATTTGTCACTCAGTGATGCGCACTTTTGAAGCCAAATAGAAAAAGAAAAGAAAAATCATAAATATTTTGTAAGCTTTAAGTAGATAGGTGAATTTGTATTAAATATATATAAGCGAATTTAGTGTTGGCCAACAAAATGTTAGGGATCACGATGTCGCATGTATCTCATGAGTTGTAAATTAGTCTGAAAAAACTGAACATGAGGTGGTAAATTAATGTGATTGGGTGAGATGAAGGCATAAGAAACAAACGAGAAAGGAATAATTGTGAAAGGGAATTTCTCCAGGAAATTTAGAGGAGGAATCACTAGGAAGGGAGGGACACGCAGGCTGTACAACATCCACACAGCAGCGAACGAACTAGTTTGATGGAAATATTTTCTTTTTTTTTTTTTTTTTTTTTATTTATAAAAGAATACCAATTTTTTGTTAACTTGCCGCCCAATATATCGCGGTCGAATTACCCCTGAGCCGATAGCTAGCCGGCTGAGCGATATATTGGTGCTTTCGACAGGCAAGGCATAACAAACAGCCAAATTATAGTCGAAATTATATCCTCATATTGATCTAATTTCTATCAGCAGCCGCAAGCATTTTCTGTATGCATCAATATGGGAGCGCATGTGTGAGAAAGAGATAACATGATAATCGACGCGAGCGTCAATATGTCTTTGTGTGTACTCTGCAGACCCCCGTTACCCCGGTACGATGGCGTGTACGTATATACACGTTGTACGTTGTTGCCAGTCGGCTAGCATCAGTTCGGGCTTGTGAATAAAAACATGCGCTGCTCGTTTCTTTTACTCTTCAGTGCCTGAGGTTACTATAAGACCTGCTCACATTTGGGTGCAAAACTTAATATAGGGAAATTTGCCAATAGTTTTAGAATATATTTAACAGCTAGGTTCAGGGTAAATCGTAGTCGAGCTCTCTCGACTACAACGCTCTTACTTGTTTATTTATTAGTTTGCTTGTTTGTCGATTATTGATATTAAAAACCACTTAACGATGTTTACACTTTGTGTTGAGCTGCGTATCTAGCTTACTGACTCTTATTGTGATGTTATGGTACATAAACAGCTGATTTTCGGTCATACACCGTTATTATTATAAAAACTTGAGTGGCAACCTCGGAAATCAGCAAAAGAAAAAATGACAAGCGCCACCGGTAAATGTTCACAAGTTCCAAATAATATGGACACGGCGAAGAAATTGTGGATACACTGCAATAGCTGTTTCGATTTTTATATTGATCAGCGGATCATATTTTTGCTCGCCTGCCAGCACCTGGCTTGCGAGAAATGCGTCACAGCCAGCATTGGTCGAAAGGCCGGAGATGCACCCTCCTTTATGTGCCCGATATGTGGCAAAAGGGTTCGTGGGCGTCAGGTGAACAATGCGCTGCCCACAAATCTCAAGGATATGTTTCATCCGGAGCCGTGGCATGATGGTCTGCCCCATGACGTCATCGATACCTTTCAGAAAGACCATCGAAAGAGATTGGAAGAGCACATTGTGAAAAAAGTGGGAGATTCTGTCTACAATTCCAGATGGATATATTTTTATCGTACTTTTGCAGGCAAAAGAAATGGAAAAGTTGTACAAGGACATGCAGTTGGCATACAAAGTGTGTCAGAAGCAATATGTGGAACTGCATCGGAATCGTATGGCACGTAAGCAACTCGAGTTTCGTGCGCGCCAAATTAAATATCAAACTGAAATTCAGAGGATGGAGGCCCAACGACGGTAAGAGTGTTACACCGGAGAGCATCACCGCAAGAAGATATTAACATTCCTTAATCCTTTTTAGGCAACTCAAGCAACGGAAATTGGAGCCTTCAATCGAATCATCGCAGCTAACGTCAGATATCCCGATATATCCCAGATATATATATTCCCGTTCCCGGACAGGATCAACTGTACCGTTTGGGATATCACAAACAGGGTGTGAATCGCTTTCCTCAGATGCAGAAACGAAAAATTCGACAGTTACTTCAACTATTACCGGTTTTAGCCATCATAATAATCATTCATTTCTTTTGTAGATTTTAAATTTAATAACATGAAGTATAAGTTGAATAAAAAGTTAATTCAGTTTATATTTACGTTAACCAACACTGCTCATGTTATGTGCTTCTTCTTCGCTTGCTGGCTTCTTTGCTTGCTTGTGGACCGATTGCCACCAAACGACGCCATTTTGAAGCTATCGAGAGTGTGTGACTGCATATGCCAATACAATTTGTGTGTGTTTTTTTTTTCAAACTCAAGACAATATTACACGCGAATGGCAAATAGAAAAGAAGTTGCGCATTAAAATCGGCGCTTTGCACTTGCAATTTGTAAACAGTGGTAACAACTGCGAAAGCTAAACAATTTTGTTGCATAGGCAAACGGGGACCACCATGAGCGGCGGCGGCAGCAAGTCGGGCGTTGTCCTCAATTGTCGCACATGCACCCGGGCTTGTAAACAATACAAATCGCTCCAAGATGAAATTGAGATCGGTCCCGAGGGCAGCACCACGTTAGCGCACATGCTCCACTATTGCTCGAATCTATCGTTTGAGCCCCAGGATGGCGCCGCAATGCCCCAGCACATTTGTATGCATTGCCTTCAGCTGTTGGAGCAGGCGTTTAATTTTAAGCGCATGGTCATCGATTCCGATGAACTGCTCCGTTTAGGTCTCGAGGAAGTCGATAACACGTCTAATCCCAATCAAAATCCCAATGCCACTGACAATAACAACCAGGAGTACGTAATGATTGAGCTGCTGGGCGATGAAAACGGTACCGAATCTGGGGCCAAATCGAATGCCGCAACGTTTGGCGAGTCGTGCTCTGAACAGGAAAACGATATGGAGCCAGAGGCGGAAGAAGATGAATTTATTGTCGATAATCCGGAGTTAGATGCATATGTTGAGACAGAAGATGCACTCGATTTCCAAACGACAGACATTGAGTATGTGACAATCAAAGCAGAATACGACTCGCAAGTTGAGGACGAAGATGACATCGAGATTATGGACTCGCCCGTCGTCGAAACGGTCAACGAACAAATGCAAATCCAAATGCTTCACGATCACATGGTCATCCTGTCCGGCGAGGAGCACATCGATGAGGTAATTGGCGAAGTCGAAGCCGACGATATACTCGACATCGAGCGCGAGGAGCATTTGGTATATAAATTGAACTAAATATTTTTATTTAAAAATATTCAATTAATTCCTGTTGTTTGTTTGCAGCTAACGGGTGATAGCGAGGAGGGTGAGGAATTTCTGGATGAGTCAATGGCCGATGGGGGATCGCTACTGGTTGTCGCCGGACCTGGCAGCGAGGTCCTGCCCCATGTGTGTAATGTGTGCAACAAGGCGTTCCGACAGCAGTGCCGTCTCAATCAGCATATGCGCTCCCATGTGGACGAGAAACTGCACAAGTGCGAAGTGTGTGGAAAGAAGCTGAAACACTTGCGCAACTACAAGGAGCATATGCTGACGCACACGAACGTTAAGCCGCATAAGTGTTTGGTGTGTTCCCGCTTCTATCGCACCACATCCAGTTTGGCTGCCCACATGCGCACCCATGCCGAGGACAAGCCGTACAAGTGTGATCAGTGCGGACGCAGCTATGCGGCGGTCGATCATCTGCGACGGCACAAGCTGACGCACACCGGTGAGCGTCCATATGCGTGCGATCTGTGTGATAAGGCCTACTATGACTCGTCGTCGCTGCGTCAGCACAAGATTAGCCATACGGGCGAGAAGGCGTTCACCTGTGAAATCTGCGGGGTTGGCCTCTCACAGAAATCGGGCTACAAGAAGCACATGCTGGTGCATTCCGGCGAAAAGCCGCACAAATGCCCCATCTGTGGGCGTGCCTTCACCTTCACCAGCAACCTGAACGCCCATTTCCGGCTGCACTCCGGCGAGAAGCCATTCAAGTGCGACAAATGCATGAAGGCATTCCCAACGAAAAAGCGCCTCAACAGCCATCTGCGTGTGCACAACAAGGAGGCGCCCGTCACGACAACCAGCAATATTATCAGCCCTGGCTCCAATGGGCAGTCGGAACGGACCGCACTGGTTGCAGCCGGCCGTCGGGCAGCCATCAATATGACCGATGGTATGGATCATCAGGTATCCACATCCAAGGTGGTTGTGGTTCTATAAACGCCCTAGTTACGCTTTTGTGTTTAAGTCCAAATCTTTAAATACACATATGTACAACAAGTGATAACGATGCAGTCCGGCATATGCCGATCTTTGAAGGACATCGCCAAACAACGTACCAATCAAATTTGGTGAATGTAGCCTTAAAATTGTGACCACTTAGTGGACGTAGCACTCCAATTTTTTTTACTTTGTCTGACGCGGGCACAGACCAGTGTATGTTCCAAGTCTCAAGTCTCTAAACCTTCGGTATCAGAGTATAAAAATCAATCTATTAACACTATTTGACTAGCTTACCAATTTTGCGATTCCTCGCACAATATATATGTGTATGTATTGTGTATCCTGACAGATATTATATATATTTACTTGATCAGTCAGGTTTCTAAGTGCGTATTCGCCAGTTTGGATTTGAATGTTATTTTGTCGTTTTGTTTTAAGGGTGCGAGTGATTGGACTCCAATAAGAGTATTTTATTTTCGGCAGGCCTAAGATAGTTGTTTTTTTTTCTTTCTTTTTTATATATATACCCTTGTATTTTTTTTAATAAGTTGTACTCGCTGAGTTTGAAAACTATCTTGCGTGGCATATATACGTCTTTTTGATTTGATCACGAAGTGGACTCGACGTCCGACCCGATCAGAACACTATACAATATAACTGCCATATCTTTCGGTAGAAAGATAAGTTTTAAGTTGTGGGATTGAGATAGGCGTAGACTATCCAGTCGTGACACAGCAAACATATTCATTAAAAACTCTTACAACCACATTTCCGGACTAAAATATAAAATATATATGTCAGCATGTTAAGTCCGCACTATAAGGGTGTCGTGACTACAATAGCCGTTCACTATTGTTCTTTAAACATATTTCGATATTACCAAATATCAACATTGACTATGTAATTTGTCATTTTTCTGAAAATATATATACATATATGTGATTTATTAACCAATTCTCAATTGCGCCATCTAAGCAATTCAAGCGTCTGGTAAAGTTTTGTCAACATTAATCCTTCACAGATATTGAAAGGGCTGTAATTAGTTGTATTTCGACAATATGTGCGTGTGTGTATATATTGTAAAATTTAAAAGTTAAAGAGAAAAACAAAAACAAATTCAAAGCAAGCCAATAAAAGAAAAATATAACTTTTAGAAATATATAATTTTTACGATTTGCCAGCTCTATTTTATAGATTCCTATTTGTGTTTGGACTACAAGAACACCATTTTTTTGTTTGAGATACATTAATTTCAGTCAAAAGACGATTTAGTAAGAGCTTACATTTCAAATGTTTGTATTTGTAGTGCTTAAAAACATTAAAGAATATTTGGTTGGTTTGCATTCAGGTGTGCTTTTAGTGGGGCCAAAGCATTTTTGGTAGGGCTGCTCTTCCGAGTGTGGGAACGCTTGTGGGCAATCAGATTGCTGGAATAGCGAAAATTGCGTCCGCAGGTATCGCAATAGTACGGCTTTTCGCCCGTATGGATGAGCATGTGCTTCTTATAGCCGGACTTTTGGGTCAGGCCCTTGCCGCAGATGTTGCAGGTGAACGGCTTGACGCCGCTGTGACTGTACAGGTGGGAGCGCAGCGATGATGCCTGCCGATATGTCTTGCCACAGATGCGGCATTTGTTGGGATTGTTGGGATTATGGAGCGTTATGTGTCCATCGTACGCATTACGCGTCTTAAATGAGTCGCCGCAAATCTTGCACACAAATGGCCTGTCATCGCCGTGCAGCTGCATGTGATACTTGTACGAGTTACTGGTGCTCAGCTGCTTGCCACAGATCTGCAACAACAACAAAATTATGTGTTCATTTTTGTTTCTATTAATTTTCAAATCACATTATTTTTTTACGGGACACAGGAGGGCGGCATTGACGGTTTTGGGTCGGTGTGTGCCACGCAACTTAATGCAGTTGGCTTTTGTGTGGCTCGGTTCGTGCTCCTCAAAATCCTCGTCGGGAAGATCAAAGTCCACTTCGAAAACCTCAACATGCTTATCACCGGCAAAATCAATTTCATCTTCAGTAATTTCCTCGGGCGCCGGCTCCTCCGCCTCCGCCTCCCTCTCCTCCTCCTGCCCTTGCTCCTCATCGTCCACCTCGTGCTGGTGATCCTGCACAACCAGCGCTTCAGTTTCATCTAGCACATAGACAAAGTCATCGGTGTCCGTCAATTCCAAATCAACATCCACAACATCTGACAGCGATTTAACTAACGATGGAGAGCAGGACGAGTTTGCCAATTTGGATGCATCGGCATTGTGCATGCGTAGCATACGATCTGTGCGTAACGCTGTGCCCCTAAAGCCAACCAACTGGGTTAGCAGCACGACACAGCGCTTGCAGATTTGACTGGGCAGGAAATGCTCCTCCTCGAGCACTTGCAGACTGGTGCAGTAGCTGAGCTGCGCAGCCAGTGTCGTCAGCTCGCCGGAAATCATGTGGGGCTGGAAGAGCGAGAGAGTTTGCAACGATGGCACATTGCAAACGCGGCATATATGCTCTGCACGCTTCTCAAGCGTATCTTCCGAATTGGACATGTTTTTTTTTTTATGTTTCTCTCTCAGTTCCCAGTTCAGTTGTTGTTGTTTTTTAGCTTGGCTTACTTGGTGTTTACGCGCACAATTTTAGCAGCTCTAATTGACAGGAGTTGCCAGACTTTTTTTCAGTCAGCTGATGCGTGCCTAGTGTGACCAGCTGACACACAAGCATATATGTATAGAATTTTCGCAGCCATGCCGGTTAAGTTCTAAAGGGGGTTCGATTGTTGCTCAATTGAAAGCGAAAGAAAATCAACATTTACAAGTGAGGACGCGAAACGGCATTTGTACGCCGCACTTGAAATAACACAGAAATGAGCATGGCGCCAGCGACAGTCATTCAGTTAATTCGCTTAGGCGCGCCACGTGCGCCTCTTTCCACATTCGCCAACCGATTGCGGCGCACATTTTCATTGAATAATCACCAGTCGCTGCCACTGTCAACCTTTGCCTCGATTCACATCGCAGGCAGATCGCGGGCAGCGGATAACAGCTGGTTTGGCAGAATCAACAGAGGCTACAGCCAGAATACCAGTAAGTAATCGACACTCGTCCACACCCCCTTTGTGGGCCCTTTGTGTTCACTTTTGATTACTTAACAATCACTCTCCCTCTCACTCACACAAACGCACGCACAGAGGAACCGGCAGCTCCACAGGAGACAGCGGCGCCATTGCTATCCAAATTGTTTCCACAGACCTCACCCGATGCAGGCGGGAATGCCGAGCAGGAGCGCAAGAAGCGCGAGGAGGATGAGGCCAAGGAGAATGAGCGCGCCTGGAAGCGCATGAAACTCGGGTTAGCCATTGATCCATTTTTTCTTTTTGTTCCAATTTATTTTGATTTTATTTTTTGAAGCTTTGCCATTTTTGGCGGCGGCGGCATTGCCACTGTGCTATGGGGCATCTATCAGTTTGGACAACCGGAGCAGGATGCCGAGGGTCAGACGATTGAGGATGAGTTTACACACAAGCCGCTGGTGCAGCAGTATTTGCAGCGTATGTGGAAATCGTTGCATTACTATCAGAAAATGATTCAGGAACCGTCGCGGGCGAAACTATTGCCCGATCCGCTCAAGCATCCGTATGTGCAGCCACGTTATACGCTCGTCCTGGAGATGAAGGATGTGCTCGTGCATCCAGATTGGACATATCAGACGGGTTGGCGCTTCAAGAAGCGTCCGGGTGTCGATCACTTTCTGCAGGAATGCGCTAAAGAGTTTGAAATTGTTGTCTTCACTGCCGAGCAGGGTATGACCGTGTTTCCCATTCTGGACGCATTAGATCCCAATGGCTATATCATGTATCGTCTGGTGCGCGATGCCACCCATTTCGTTGACGGTCATCATGTCAAAAATCTGGACAATTTAAATCGCGACCTAAGACGTGTAAGTTTGCATCCTTAATCCTTAATAATAACTACCAAACCGTTACAAACAGCAACAATTTAAGTACTCCCCGCAAGGATAAGCCATGGAGATGTTTTTCTATGATAAAAAATAAAAATTGTGCTTTTTGGTTTGCAGGTGATTGTCATCGACTGGGATAGCAATGCAACCAAAATGCATCCGGACAACACATTTGGCATTGCCCGCTGGCATGGCAACGACGATGATGGCCAGCTTCTCGACTTGGCCGCCTTTTTAAAGAGTGAGCTGAAAAAAAAATGGAATATAGAAGTTTATTTAATCCACTTTTAAAAAAAACAATCTGAATTGCAGTCATTGCGCAAAATGATGTTGACGATGTGCGCGAGGTTTTGCATTATTATCGCCAATTCGAGGATCCCATAAGCCAATTCAGGGACAATCAGCGCAAGCTGGCCGAGCAAATGCAGGAGGCTGAACGCATCGAACAGGCGAAACCGAAGCCAATGGTCAAGCAATGGTCTCGCAACATTCTAGGCCGCTAACTGCATTTGAACAGTTGCACCACGCTAATCCCACACACAAGCCATAGTCATCGTATATTTAAATATATATGCAGTAGTCCTTGTACACAGTTCTAAACCACTTTTACATACACCCAAAGCAAAGAAAAACAAAACAAAAATCACGTTCCCCAAGTTATAGTGAAAAGAACATGACCACAATGAAAAAATGCATATTCATAAAAAAAAAAAATCCCAAATCGTACAACGAAAAATTGAAAATTTTATCGGTTCATGTAAGCAATATCCCCGATTTTTTAAAGTTTTTTTTTTATACAAACAAAATCTGTTGTTTTATTCATTAATTTTTCTTTACCTTTGCAATGTAATTATCTAACCGATAATACAAATAAAACGAATTCAAATACAAGCAACAATTAAGTTTCGATTTGAAATGCACCAATTACATATTTAATATAGGCCTATTGGTTCTATCACACCGATTATCGAAAAGTGAAAACTTTTGAATATTTGCGCGCCCTTTGCTTGGTTGGCATCGTGTTTTGTTGGTTTTGCCCTTTAGATATGAATATGCATGTATGTATATGTTAAGATTTTCATATATGTATATTTAATATAGACCGCCCATCGATGCTATCACATCGGTTATCGAGAAGTGAAAACTTTTGAATACTTGCGCGCTCTTTGCTTGGTTGGCATCGTGTTGATTTGGTTTTTGGCTTTAGATATGCAAATGCATGTATGTACATATATGTTAACATTTTCATGTATGTATGTGGAGTGGAGTGGAGCATGCGCCATGAATGCTTTGTTTTCCGCTGTAAATGTCAAAGTTGAACTTTACTCTATCGGTGGCAGTCAATAGATTACACAGGTACAAGCATAGGCAGGGCGCAGTGACAAGAGCAGTCAGAATGCGTTTTTGTTTGTTTGTTGATTTTCCTGCTGCCGCAGAGTGACGCAGCAATATTCGCTTTTGATTCCTTTCTATAATGCATAAGCTTTGTTGCACATACTAGTCATACACACACACACACACACACGCACACACACACACACGCACACACACACGCACACACACACACACAGACACGTTTTGTGCATATGCGCATTTACATGTAAATAAGTGGGATGCTTCGCTGCCCAAGGCGACCTTTACGTCACGTCAGAGCCAGCAGCAAGCAACCCCCTCCCCCTTCCTAAATGGACGACGCTAACGGCAACAGCGTGAAACAATGTATACATTGCCCTTTCTCTCTATTTCTTTCTTTGTCTTTCTGTCTTGGGGCACAAGGACGTCGACAGCAAAATCTACACCTGTAACAACATAGCTGTAAGCGTGATGTGAAATATGTAATTGCATAATCTACTTTGCAAACCCCTTTTTGGCGAATTTCCGTTTGCCTACGGCACAGACACACAAGTAAGAGTGAGAGCATATTGCCTGCGCTTAGACGCTTTCTCGCGCGCTTTTGCTACGCTGATTAAAATCTGATAGGGCGTTCTGCGAGTCTTTAGCCCATATTAGTTATCATTTGATAGCTATATAAATGAATATATATTTTTCAATTAATTGTATCTAAAAAAAAAGAAGAAAAATAACCTATGATAAGTAGTAAAATTAAGCTAAAATTTTGATAAGTTTAAGTATGAAATACAATTCTGCTTTTTTATCGTTTGGCAGCTGTTTATTGGAATACCCCGAATATGTTTTTTCCCTCTCTTTTTCTCGCGTTCTCACCTATGTATCTCAGCTTGCTGGTGCTTTTGCTGCTGCTTTTCAGCTGGTTCTGTTTCGTTTTCGTTTTCAGTTCAAAAGCGAACGCGAACGTGTGTCGGTCGTTGCAGCCGTCGCTCGCTACGCTTACGCTATCGTTTTGTATGTCGGTTTGTAATTGCAAAAACTAGCAGAAGCGCAGCAAAAGGCAAGAAAATTTTATACAAAATTTTCTTCTTGCGTGTGGGTGTGTACCAAGAGCAGCGAGTACAAACAAAATATAAAGTTCTCATTAAAAACGGTCAATCAAGAAAAAATGTTGTTTCGCTTTTTGTTATTGTTTTTTTTTTTTAGTGTGTGTGTATTGTTATTGTTTTTAATAGTGCACAGCTGCTGGCAGCAATAGATATGTGAGTTTTATACATATGGCTGTGCGTATGTTATTGTTTTTGCTGTTGCTCATCGTCTGTGTTATTGCAGCTAAATTGTTGCAAGAAAATTTACAAATGCGTAAAAGAGTAAGGAAAACGGCATACTCCGTGCGTACGTGCGTGTATGTGTGTGAGTGAGCGCGTAAACGTAAATGCGTAAGCTCAGAGTCTGGCCTGGAATTTTACTCTCTCCAGCAGCAAAGGTTTCTATCTCCCCTTCCCCCAGAAGAAGTAGCAGAAGCGAAAAGAACAACAACAAGTAAATGCTGCACTAACACCATCGTGAAATGCGTGCGTGTGTGTGCATGCTTGTGCGTGTGTGTGATAAGAATTTTAAGCTGCATTTTGGCATTTACATCTTCCCATCTGCCCCATTTTCCACTTTCATGCGTGACTAGGCCACACACACACACACACTGACGCGCACGCATTGTGTGCTTGTGATTTGAGCTCCCAAAACGGCCGCAACTAAATTTTGATAGTCTCCCAGTTGGAACATAGAAATATATTCTCTGCTGCTGCTGCCAATGATTTCGCTTCTTGTTGTCTCCATTTTACTGTTGTGCTTCACTAAATTGAGCCTAGGGCAAAAATGTTCTCTGCGCGCGCATTGCTCTTTACAAGTAGTTTTGTTGTTATTGTTGCTGTTGCGTATATGTATGTGCTATATATATATATATATATATATTGATATTGATATAAATATATAATATATAAATTATTAATAAACATAAAGCGCGCCACAGGTGTCCACTGAGACCGAATACTTGTGACCTCAGCGAGCAACACTCTTTCATTCGTAATTCGTAATTTGCGCGTCTCTTCTTCTGTCTGTGTGTATGTCTGTCTGTCGTGTCTGGCTACTTCAGCGGATCGAAAGTCGGCTTACGTGCAACTCGTTGACATCTATTGTGCCTTGCACTTACTTTTGTTATTATGGTTTCTCTCTCTCTCTCTCTCTCAAACAGATATACATAATTCGGCGAAGCCATCCAAGTGCAACTGCAAAAAAATGTAAACGATCACCTGTCACTATTTATATACTTTTGACTATTTAGTAGCTAGTTTTTGCTTTCCATAAAGCTGAATAAAGCTATTAATGACTAATTTAATTTATTTTGGCTTCATAAAACTAATGGCAGAAAGTTATTAAATCATTGACCAATTATCATTTTTATTAATGAATTTTTTATCTTTTCTCATTTTGTGGCAACGCTGATCACCACACAATACTGCGCCTCTCTTCTGCGCTTGCCTATTCACACTCACATGCACTCTCAGACTTTGTTTGTTGTTGTTTTTGTCGTCATCGTCTCTGTCGCTTCGTCGCTTTGCTTCCGGGGCTTTCACGTTCAATTATTAATGCTTGAATGGTCGGCAGCCGCGGAGCGCCATTTATTTTACCGTTTGCGCTTTTCGGTGTTTCTTCTCATTTTATTTTGTACACTTTTCTTATGTCCAATTACTGTGGCAATTTATTCATCAAACAGCAAAGCGTGCAAACAAGTAACACCCAAGGAAAGAAGAAAAAGCCGTTTTTTTTTTGCTTTGTGTCTCCTGCTGCTTCTTTTCTTGCGCTTTGCAAGCACTTATCTTGCGGTTGTTATTGTTGTTGTTGTTGCTCGCTTCAGCAGGTCTATGCAAACTTTGTGTCACACACACTTCATAGTTTTGCACATGACAGCGTCCGTCGCTCCCCCCCACCCTGTCGTAGAGCAATCCCTTGACACGAGCTTGATCATCGCCATAAAGCAAACGCAAACTGTAAAATGACAGGCGACAGACGACAGACTATAAACACGGCTAGCGTTCAAGTTACGTGCAAAGTGCACAGATTACTGTCTACATACACATACAAGTAAATATTCGCACATACATACATATATATTTAGTTATGTGTGTGTGTGTGTGTGTGTACATATTTATTTATTCATTTCGGTTTTGTTTATAGCGAGCATAAACATATATGCATATGTACATCTGTACTCGTATTTGATATGACACAGCTAGATACACGATAAATTGTAGCCATTTTGGACACTAGCAGAAATATAATATATAGTTTCGCATTTATTTACTCGTTTCTTTTACTTCAAGTTCAGCTGATGAGCTCAAATTTGATGCTATTCAATTTAAGTGGAAATTATAATTAATTAATTAGTTAATAAAAATTAATAATAAATTAACTTCGTTCACATATCTGATATTCAATTGCTATACTTATATATATATGTGCTTATGTAAATATGTATGCTTTCAAAGTATGTAAATATCTATTTTTTCTTACCACGCTTTATTTCTTTCTGTACCTCTTGATACCATATCGCCCCCATAATTATTGATTACTGGCCTTTGTGCGCTGCTTGCAACAGTATCGCCATTAAGTGGGTATCGCAGATATCCAACGTATACAGTTATTGGCAAGGGAGGGTGAGCGAGTGGTGGAGGGGCTTGTGAGACTTGTGTCTTGCATTGTCAATCATGAAATGCCATTAATTAAGTTGCAATTGCCTCAGTCAGCTGCAAAGTGCTTGGTGCCAGCAAGGCAAGCCAAGGCTACGTCCATTAGCTGGATGGATGGAGATCCAGCCCTAGTTCAAAATACAGATGTACATACATACATACATACATACATACATACATACATACATACATACATACATACATACATACATACATACATACATACACACATACATACATACATACATACATACATACATACATACATACATACATACATACATACATACATACATACATACATACATACATACATACATACATACATACATACATACATACATACATACAAAATGTAAGTACTTTCTAAACTCACCTATGCAGACAAATAGTGCCAAAGAGCAAAAAAATAAAGGAAGAAAAATATGTCTGTCCACCGTCATAAATAATTAATTACAAATAAAAGATTAGATAAAGTGACATTTGCTGTGGAGCAGGGAAGGGTTGAAGTTGTTGCTGCCTTGTGTGTTTGCCCGTGTGTGTGTCAGTGTGTGTGTATGATAAACAAACATTTAAATGTTACATTTCCACACTTTCATAATTTGACTTGGACAGGTCAGCTTCAAATTGAAAAACCCCATTTGAAGGTCAACCAAATAAATACATACATACGCAATTACACAAATACAGATGTATCTACAGATGTATACGATATAGATATAGTGCAGACGCGCTTTGGTTTTAATATTTAAGCTGATTTTCGATTATTTCCACTTTCATAAATATGTAGTTCGAATGTGTTTACAAACAAACCAGAATATAAATAATTAATTTAATGTGTACTTAACATGAAATGAATACTCTTCTATCTCTAGCGATTCCCATTCACATTTCCATATCCACATTTTTCTGCGTTTTGCATATGCTTTGCAATTATTATTCGCAAACGGTAAAATTGCGACCTTGCCAAATCAAGAGCACCAAAAACCAACCTAAAACCTATGTACACATATATGTATATTTGTATGTGTTTATGTGTACATGTATGCTATAAAGGTGATTAGTGGTTAACCTTAATGCTGTACTCCGACAGAGCTTAAGCTCTCAAGTTCATGTAACTGTTTCAGCTGACATCTCAGGTATTTCATCGCAATAATTGCTTACTTTACCTATGTATATATATATATATATATGTATATCTCTATTGTGTCTGATTTGAATTGAAAAGCTCCATAAAACGGTAAGTCCCTCGAATATATTGTTCAATATTATTATATTGACGATAAGCTCGCTTGTCGCTTGTCACTTTGACGGATCGATTGCATTAGAGGGGAGGGGAAACGAATGCCAAATAATAGCAACTCCAACAGCAAATTAACTACGTTTCCCCCTCTCCCCATCTACCTCTCCCTCTCACACTTAGTCTCTTTCTGTTTTTAGGTCAAGCGAGGAAATTGCAAAGTGCCAGTGGATGTGGACAGAAGGGCGAGGGGAGATGTGTGTGTGTCTGTGTGAGGGTAGGAGAGGGGGTCTGTTCTCTGTTCCCATTGTCGGCGGTAGTCAACAATAAATCCAATTAGCAAAGCTGTTCAAGGTAACAGCAAAAATTATGCACGATAAACCAAAATTATTTTCGAGTGTTTTTTTTTTCGTTTTTGGTTTTGCTTTTGTTTGGTTGTGGTTTTTGTTTGTATTACCATTTGAGAAATGTGAGCCGCGGCGACCTTATCGGACATTTTCATTCCTGTTCGCAATTTTATTCTTGTTTGTTGTCCCTATAGCACGATAATCGCAAAAATAATATATGCCTATGCCATTGGATGCTCTCCCTCTGTTTTTCTATGTATTTAAAAGACGCGAATTTCGATAACAAGTCTTGTATTTAGAGCGAATATTCTACTAATATTCACCAAATTCCTTTCCTTTTTAAATTTCGAAAACAGATAAAATTATTATTGAAATTAAGATATAATATTTCTGTTTATAATATTAATAATTATTAAATATCTCTTATATTTTAAATGATTGTAACTGGCAGTGGGAGGCATTTCCGATTCCATAAAGTCTATATGTATGCATATTCTTAATCAGTATTAAGAAACGAGTTGATTTTGCATTTAATGTTCATTTAGACTATTAGAGCTAGAGACTTCATACGCGGGAATACAAGTGCTCGCATTCCGTACGCAGATCCAGCTTATTTAATTTTATGGATACTTGCCAACGTTCGCCATAAATCGACATTTCTGATGGCAATAAGAGGCACAAATGGCCTTTTAAAATATGACTGAAATATGAATTGTTCACATTTCACTCAGATTGGATAAGAAGCATATATTCATATTGAACAACCTGGACGATCAGCAGCAATCTTCGCATTGGTCTTTCGACTAGGGCATTCTAGTCGCTTCTCGGTGACATATTTGGAGCTTTGCTCTTTGTGGTATTAAGTAGTTGTCCAATTGACAGCTTGAGTGCTCGACTGACACTTCGAATGTTGTCAGCAGTCTTGTGCTGTTCGCTGATGTATGCGAGTCTCCCCCGGAGGTGCCAATCAATAGTCGAAACGGTAATTTACATTTTAGATCTGCAGCTCCATGAAGCACATATTACATATATATATATATATATAGACACATACAGATGTACGGAAGCCATAACAACAAACAAGCAGCTAGGGCTGAGGCAACATCGAGCCGAACCAACCCCTGGCCGAAAAATGTAATCCAACCTTGCCACACTTGCAGGTCATAGACGCCACCTCAGCCATGCGCATCACATGCAGCAAGCGGCAGCAACAGCAACACAGCCACAACAACAATAACAACAACTACAACAACAGCAATAACAACAACACCCATAAGCCAATAACAACATCCGATGATTGCCTAAAGCCTATGAAATAAAATAAAGCGCGCAAGTGAGAGAGAGAGAGAAAAACAGAGCGAGCGAGCGAGAGAGAAGGGCAAGCGAGAGCAAGAGGAACAGAGAAAGTAAACCCGCCGTAAAATACACCAAAGAAGCTGACCAAATAAGAAAATAGATAGAAAATAGTCCAGGAAAACAAAAATGTTGATCAAAGAGTATCGCATACCACTGCCCCTCACCGTCGAGGAGTACCGGATTGCCCAGCTGTATATGATAGCGGTAAGTGACGATGAGCGAGCTGATCATAATCCTAACACCAAGTACACTCCAAATATCCTAGTACACTCTAAGAAAATCGCTGACTCTGCTAATCCTACAATACTTGCAAATTACTTATGATTATATTTCAATTTATTTTCCAAATTTAAATCACATTAAATAAATATATATTAGTGATATATACGTGATCGAGATTTATCAAAATTAATTTATAGACTGGTTAAAGATGTGTGACAAACTTCAGAATCTCACACACAGTTATTTATTTGCGATTCATAATACATTTCAAGGGATGACAAAAACAAGTTTACAGTATTCACTTGTACTGGAGTCAATTTGATGATTTCAATTCGGTAAAAATACAACTCTAAAACAAGTAACCAGAACGGTCCAGTCGGCAAAAATAACAAAAATAATCCTAGGTGCGACTTTTCACTATAAAGTCGACCAATTGTTCCGATTGTTCCGTTGCGCAGTTTCATCAAGATGGCTTTAAAATTGAGGAATTAGCTTGCATAGACAGACTCGGGTAATCATGCTGATCAGGAGTATATACATATATTAGCTTTAACTAGTAATTAATGTGTGCATTAATTCACTCCATTTGTGATTTTAGTTAGAGTATTTTTACAAATAATTTGCTTGTTGTCCCTTACAGAAAAAGAGCCGCGAGGAGAGCCATGGCGAAGGCAGCGGCGTCGAGATCATCATCAATGAACCCTATAAGGATGGACCCGGAGGCAATGGCCAGTACACAAAGAAGATCTATCACGTTGGTAGTCACCTGCCGGGCTGGATCAAGAGTAAGAATCACATTAAATATATATAATATTGAATTTGTAAATATTCCAGCGGTTCATTTGCAGGTCTACTGCCCAAGAGTGCGCTGACCGTCGAGGAGGAGGCATGGAATGCGTATCCGTATACGCGGACACGCTACACTTGTCCCTTTGTGGAGAAGTTCTCGTTGGACATCGAGACCTATTATCATCCAGATAATGGCTATCAGGACAATGTATTTCAGTTATCGGGCAGCGATCTTCGCAATCGGGTTGTGGGTAAGTTGATTAAATCGAATCTTGTCTTGATTTGACATCATTAGTAATGTGTTTTTGTATTTGATTGCTTTGTGTGTCACAGATGTGATTGATATTGTGAAGGATCAGCTGTGGGGTGGCGATTATGTTAAGGATGAGGATCCCAAGCAATTCATATCGGATAAGACGGGTCGCGGCCCACTCGGCGATGATTGGCTGGAGGAGTATTGGCGCGAGGTGAAGGGCAGGAAGCAGCCAACGGCACGCAATATGTCTCTGATGACCGCCTATAAGATCTGTCGCGTCGAATTTCGATATTGGGGCATGCAAACAAAGCTGGAGAAGTTCATCCATGATGTTGCCCTGCGCAAAACAATGCTGCGTGCCCATCGCCAGGCGTGGGCGTGGCAGGATGAGTGGCATGGCCTAACCATCGAGGATATACGCGAGCTTGAGCGGCAAACGCAGCTGGCGCTAGCCAAGAAAATGGGCAGCGGCGAGGAGTGTAGTGATGGTAACAACACCAACAATACCAATTCGCACAAAGTGTGATCCATACAGGACTTTATATATATATATATATTTTTTTTTTGACATTGCAGATAGCATCTCGGAACCGTATATGAGCAGTGCAACAGTGGCGCCAGCTTCGAGCCTCAGCGAGCGCAAGAAATCAGCGCCAGCTGTGCCACCAATTGTCACCCAGCAGCCACCAAGCGCCGAGGCCAGTTCTGATGAGGGGGAAGACGACGACGAAGACGATGATGATGAGAATGGCGATAATGTCGCCAGCAATGTGGAGCTTGCTGCCCAAAGTGCCAGCAATCAGCGTTCACGTTCCCAAAGCATTCAAATGGCCAACAAAACCAAATTCGGCTCAAAGGGTGCCCTGCACTCGCCGGTGGGTTCAGCACACAGTTTCGATCTGCAGGTGAGTGTGCTGGATGCTGATGCTGCAACTGCAACTGCAAATGCTGCTGTTGCAACTACAACTGCTGCTGCTGCTACTGTCTATTGTCTATAGTCTACTATCTGTTGTCTATTGTCTATTGTCTCCCTCCGTGGCATATTGTCGTACTTTGTGCTTTGTCTTTGCTTTGTTGCTGTACATTGCCTTTCAGTTGGTTTCTACTTTCAATTCGATGGTGTTTCATTCTCATGTTAAATGTTTACATAATCGGAATAGTTAACAATGCGATGAATTGCATATTGAATCAATCCAAGTTTTTATTTACAATAACTTGATGAAGTTCAACTGATGTTTAATTTTCGAAAGTTTGCCAAGTGCAAGCATTTATTTATTTAATCATACAATTCCCAGTATCCGTTAATTACTAATTTGATTAGAGTCTCAGTTTTAATATGCCCATAAAAAGATATAGCTGCGTTAACTTCCGTAGTCAATTTAATTATTTTCTTTCATTATTTGTTTTTGTGTATTTTTTTTAAATACAGAATTGCAAAAGTTAGGCATACGAAATCGATAATTTTGCAAATATCTTTCGGGTTTTCATTTATGTGTATGTAAATATATGCTTTTTCCTTTGAGCAGCGTGTTCTCGCCCAAGAAAAAAGAAAAACAGAAAAACGAATTTAAAAATAATCTTTGATTTGCTCTTGTCATACCCAAATTAAAATCCAACAAAAAAAACACATCCAACACCGAAACCGCTCCGATACCGAAACCAATCCGATCTTGTGCAGAATAAAAAGCCAGCGCCACGCAATCATGTAAGTTCCTGTTCATGTTCCAGTTCCTGCTCCAAATGCACTTCCAGCTGCAAGCCCCAGCACACCTCCCACATAGACATAGAGCGCTTGTAGCGGACCCAAAATTGTTGTATTTAGATTCGATTGAGGATAAGAGATTGATGGTGTTTACTTTCGTGTGTGCGTGCGCTTTTGCAGGTTGCCAACTGGCGCATGGAACGCCTCGAGGTGGACTCCAAATCCAACTCAGACGAGGAGTTCTTCGATTGTCTGGGTATGTGCCATCCATATGCTTTAGGTGCTCTAAACTAATTGTTGTCACTTACAGACACAAATGAGACGAACTCGCTGGCCAAATGGAGTTCGCTGGAGCTGTTGGGCGAGGGCGATGACAGCCCGCCGCCACATGGCGGCAGCTCTTCTGGCAGCGGTGGCCCTGGCGGTCATGCTTGTGGTCGCCATAAGCAGGAGGATAGCATATTCAATCAGGACTTTCTTATGCGTGTCGCCTCGGAGCGTGGCAATAAGCGACAATTGCGCTCTTCAGCCAGCATTGATCGCAGTCACGACTCATCGCCACCGGGCTCGCCGAGCACACCCTCCTGCCCCACAACCATACTGATCCTGGTGGTGCATGCGGGCAGCGTGCTGGATGCGGCCAGTGAGCTAACCGCTAAGAAGTCGGATGTAACAACATTTCGCGGCTCATTCGAGGCTGTTATGCGTCAGCATTATCCCAGCCTCCTGACACACATGACCATCAAGATGGTACCGTGTCCATCGATCTGTACGGATGCACTGGGCATACTCTCCAGCCTCAGTCCGTATTCATTTGACGCATCACCGTCGGCAGCGGATATACCTAATATAGCAGATGTGCCCATTGGTGCCATACCGCTGCTCGCTGTGGCTTCGCCCGAATTTCAGGAGACGGTCAACAAGACGGTCGCCGCTGCCAACATTGTTTATCATGAGTTCCTCAAATCGGAGGAGGGTCACGGCTTTTCCGGCCAAATTGTTATGCTGGGCGACTCGATGGGATCGCTGCTGGCGTACGAGGCGCTCTGTCGCTCCAATGGCAACCAGTCAAATGCCGCCAATCTATCACAGGCGGCCGGTCATGGCCCAATCGGCGCCGGTGGCGACAACAGTGCACGCATGTCACGCATGGACGATGATGAGCGTTTCATTGATTCTGATCTGGATGCGAAGCGATTGCTAGTGGCACCATCGCCACGACGTCGTCGCTCCAGCTCCTCGAGCGATTCGCGCGTAACCCGTTTGGACTTTGAGGTCAGCGACTTCTTTATGTTCGGCTCACCACTGTCTGTCGTGCTGGCCGCCCGCAAATTGCACGATGCAAAGGCGGCACTGGCACGTCCCAATTGCCATCAGGTGTACAATCTGTTTCATCCAACCGATCCGATTGCCGCCCGCCTGGAACCGTTGCTAAGCGCACGCTTCTCCATACTCTCGCCGGTGAATGTGCCGCGCTATGCCAAATATCCGCTGGGCAATGGACAGCCGTTGCATTTATGTAAGGGCCATCCATCTATGGATTACAGTCACACATAATCTAACGCTCTCTCTCTCTCCCTCTCTCTCTCTCTCTCTCTCTCTCTCTCTCTCTCTCTCTCTCTCTCTCTCTCCCTCCCTCTCTCCCTCTCTCTCTCTCCCTCCCTCTCTCCCTCTCTCTCTCTCTCTCCCTCTCTCTCTCTCTCTCTCCCTCTCTCTCTCTCCTTCTCTCTCTCTCCCTCTCTCTCTCCCTCTCTCGCTCAGTGGAAGTAATACAGTCGCATCCGCAGCATTTCAACGATGGCAACAATCTGCTTACCGGCCGTCGCCTATCGGATGCATCCATGCAGAGCACCATCTCTGGTCTCATTGAGAATGTCTCCTTAAGTACCATACACTCACGTAAGAACTGATTGATTGATTGACTGATTCAATGGTTAATTGACTTGTATGCTTTTGCAGTTCAAAACAAATGGTGGGGCACAAAGCGCTTGGACTATGCGCTCTATTGCCCGGAGGGTCTGAGCAATTTTCCGGCACATGCGCTGCCGCATCTGTTCCATGCCAGCTACTGGGAGAGTCCCGATGTGATTGCATTCATATTGCGACAGATTGGCAAATTTGAGGGCATACCGTTTGTGGGATCGCACGATGACAAGGACAACTCCTCGTTCCACCCCGGGCAGCCGCGCGAAAAGTGGATCAAGAAGCGCACCTCCGTCAAGCTGAAGAATGTGGCCGCCAATCATCGGGCCAACGATGTTATCGTTCAGGAGGGGCGGGAGCAGCGTTTGAATGCTCGATTCATGTATGGACCGCTTGATATGATCACGCTGCACGGTGAGAAGGTGGATGTGCACATTATGAAGGATCCACCGGCGGGCGAATGGACATTCCTAACCACCGAAATGACCGACAAGAATGGACGCATCTCATACAGCATACCCGATCAGGTGTCTCTCGGCTATGGCATCTATCCAGTCAAGATGGTGGTGCGTGGCGACCATACCTCCGTTGATTGTTATATGGCTGTTGTGCCGCCGCTAACCGAATGCGTTGTATTCAGCATCGATGGTTCATTCACGGCATCCATGTCGGTGACCGGCAGGGATCCAAAGGTGCGCGCCGGTGCCGTCGATGTCTGTCGCCATTGGCAGGAGCTTGGATATCTGCTCATCTATATTACCGGGCGACCGGATATGCAGCAGCAGCGTGTCGTCTCCTGGCTCAGCCAGCACAATTTTCCACATGGCCTAATCTCGTTCGCTGATGGACTCTCCACCGATCCGTTGGGCCACAAGACCGCCTATCTCAATAATCTGGTGCAAAATCACGGAATCTCAATTACCGCCGCTTACGGCAGCAGCAAGGATATTAGCGTCTACACCAACGTGGGCATGCGACCCGAACAGATCTTTATTGTTGGCAAGGTACATATAAACAACGATTATATATATTCATCTATATATTTTAATTGTCCCCCCCCCCCCCCCCCAC